TTTGTACACGCACGACCTGGAGAGAAACGCCCACCTAAGCTCCTTGTGACTGGATAACTTTATTCTTTGCTTGTGTTTTTATTTTTCCTGTAATGCACATATTAACTTTTAAAAAATAAAAGTTATTTTAAAAACCTGGGGGAGCTGGGCATGGTAGCGAATACCTGTGATCCCATTGGTTTGGGAGGCTGAGACAGGAAGATCGCCAGTTCAAAGCCAGCCTCAGCAACAGCAAGGCGCTAAGCAACTCAGTGAGACCCTGTCTCTAAACAAAATACAAAATAGGGCTGGGGATGTGGCTCAGTGGTCCAGTGCCCCTGAGATCCCTGGTTTAAAAAAAAAAACCTTAGGGAGGAAAAAAGTTAAACACTAGTATCAGAGTTTTGTCACCAACATGACATTGTTTTAATCCCCATTAATTACTTTTTTTCTTGGGGACTATATAGCTACCTAAACTGTAGCAGTGAAAGAAAACTTGAATAACATGTCAAGGAAAGCGTCCATTCACTGGACAAGTGATCAAAGCCAGTTCAAAGCCGGTCTCGGCAAGAGCAAGGCGCCAGAGAACTCAGTGAGACCCTGGCTCTAAATGAAATACAAAAAACCAAACAAACAACACACACACACACACACACACACACAAGGATTGGGGGTGTATGTGGCTCAGTGGTTGAGTGCCCGAATTCAATCCCCAGTAACCCTCCCACAAAATAAAATAAAACAAAGACAAAATAAAGGTCTGCGAATGTAGCTCGGCGGCAAAAAGCACCTCGGTTAAATCCCTGGTGCCACCCAAACAAAACAAAGCAAAACAAACGAAATCCTGTACGGGAGAGGAAAAAATTAAGTCCGCACCGCACACAGCTCTTTTCCACACACCACACACACCAGCACTCTTCCCTTCCGGCTTTGGTAGGCGGGACGTCGGAAAGGGGATTAGACCGGAGTTCCGCGGACGTCAGCATAAGGGAGTGGCGCATGTAGATGAGCACGCACGCTGAGGCTGCTGGTCCGGCTCCTCCTGGGCCCCCACGTCCCGGGTGGGCATTATACGCATTGTCCGTGATGACTTTTTTCCGAGCCATATGGGGGCGGGAAGGTGAAGAGGCCGCGTGGGGGGATGACCGTGAGTGTAGAGTGAGGCTGGCGCCAGGGTGTGGGTCGAGTGTTGGCTAGCAACTCATACTTACCTGGCAGGGGAGATACCATGATCACGAAGGTGGTTTTCCCAGGGCGAGGCTTATCCATTGCACTCCGGATGTGCTGACCCCTGCGATTTCCCCAAATGTGGGAAACTCGACTGCATAATTTGTGGTAGTGGGGGGCTGCGTTCGCGCTCTCCCCTGGTTATTCTTTGTTTTAAAAGCAGACTTTCGGATCTCGGTTTTGTTAGAGTGGTGTTCTGTTTTGTTCTTTTTTCCTGTTCACAAAGCTTTGTCTCATGTAGCGTCTCACTGTGGACTGTGGTTAAGTTGTTCTTCGCACTCCGCGTGCGCCGTGTGGATCCCAGTACCTTGGGAAGCTGAGGAGGAGGAGGATCGCGAGTTCAAAGATCACCTCAGCAGTATGGTGAGGCGCTGTGTCCAAGTAAAATGCCAAGCAGGGCTGGGGCTCAGCGGCTGAGTACCCCTGAGGTTCAATCTTCGGTACCCAAGGACGAGTAAGTGAAGATGGCTGTAGTCATCCAAGCAGTGAACAAACGCTGCTAAGATTTAGTCCTCCCGGGAGGTCGAGTTCATAGGAGCTACTGCCTCCGTCCAGGGTGAAGTCCTTGCTTTCCCAGAAGCAGGCGGGTGCTGGGCTGGTTGGCAGCAGGGTGGGTGTTCGGCGAGGCCTGGCACGGCGTCATCCCACTCCCCTGGCGATCAGCGAAAGAATACAGGACTTGTCTTTTCTTCAGTGGACTGGGGAACGCCTTCCATGAAAACCGGAAGGAGAGAATCTTTCTGCCTTTGAGCAGGATGAGTGGGGGCAACATTAACATGGGACTTTCTTCTGTTTTTACCTTCCCAATCCCTTTTATCTAATCTATGGGTAACCATTTCTTAGTCATATTCCTGTTCATCCTTGTCTAAATGGCACTTTCTTCTGCATCTATTGTGTAGGTGGCTTCCTTCTACTTCTATTTATCTCTGAGTTATGTATTTTTTAAAAAAATATTTTTAGTTGGACACAATACCTTTGTTTTTATGTGGTGCGGCGGATTGAACCCAGTGCCTCACGCATGCTAGGCAAGCGCTCTGCCACTGAGCCATAATCCTGGCCCCATATGAGTTATCTTTTTTTATTGTCGGTGGCAAGTTGACTGGACTCAGGTCCTGATGAATCTTGCAGTTTCTGCAGAGTATCCAGTGGATTGGCTATCCCCCCCCCATCCCCCCCATCCCTCCCCCCGTTTCTTTGTCTCTCTTCCTTACCTCCTTTCTTTCCAAGGTTTCACCAAGTTGGCCAAACTGGCCTTGAATTTAGGATCCTTGTCTCACCCTTCAGAGTCACAGGATTACAGCTGGGCACCACCGTGAGGCTTCTGCAGGGAATTAAAAAGATCAAGCCTCTTTGCCAGCAAAATCTGTGCCCCCCCCCCCTCCACCCAATCCCCCCCCCCCCCCCCCCCCCCCCGATTTTATCTGCAAGTCGGAGTTTGGCTTAAAGGTGTACTTGGTACCCTCAAGTTAGTCATGCCACAGAGTTTACACCTGACATGGCAGAGCAGCCTTGGGGAGTGGTGAATAATCTGAACAGCTGCAACAGTCCTAAACTGCTATCCTTGACTTTCTGCCTAAACTTCTTGTTTTAAATACCTGTAGTCGAGGTTATATTCTTGCCAGCCTCCAATTTTTACACTGCAGGTCATTTTAAGGGGAAAGGATGGTGAAAGGGTAAAGTTTCTAAGCTGCTTCTAAACTGCAAAGCCTGAGTTAAAATGTAAAAGACCGGGCATTGTAAAGTTCCTAAGCTGCAAGGCCTGAGTTAAAAAGTGAAGGACTAGGTATTATTAAGTTCCTCTGCTACACCCAGAACCTGAAATTCCTGAGGCAGTTAAGACAACGCCCTACTGGCCATTTAGTTGATTAATAGCCTAGGGCCCTGTGCGATCTTGCACGTAGGCATCGCAGGGCCTAAACCAATCAGTTTGAATGTGTACCCCGCTTAGGAGTAATCAATCACCCCGGCCGGACCTGTTCCCGCCAATGAATGAACTAATCATGTTTAGGAATTGTTGTTTGATTTTCCCACGGTGTATGATGATTTGTTAAAGGAAACTGTGATGTATGTAAAGTCCCCGCCCTCCCCAAGAAGTGTACTTAAGCAGTGCTCAGCCCCTGCTCTGGGCTGCTCTCCTTTCTTGAGTGAGCACGGAGCCCCAGCACGCTGGATTGGATCCTCAATAAATAAATCCCCTTCTGCAATTGCATGAGTCAGTCTCTTGGTGGTCTCTTCCTCCCACGCTTCGCTGGACCCTTACAATGGGTGTGGGTGGGTGGCGGGAGACACGTTCCCTTTTCTATCCAAAACAACATAAGGTAAGAAAGATTCAAGTGGGATTTCACTCCCTTAATTAAAATCCCCAATCCTTCCCTGTTCCCTAGTAATTTTGTTGTTTTGTGGTACTGGGGATTAAACCCAGAAGGGTCTGCCACTGAGCTGCATCCCCAGCCTTTTTAGGTTAATTTTCTCTAAATTGCTGAGGCTAGCTTCAAACTTGTGATCCTCCTGCCTTAGCCTCCCAAGTAGCTTAGATTACAAGAGTGTGCCAGTTTACAGCAGTTTTTCTTTTTAAACCAACTACTTATTCTCCTCCTAATTCATTCCACATTTTAGAAAGATCAGTTTGAGCTCAACATCTATAGCTATTTACTATAAGACATTAGGAATATCGTACAAAATTCTCTAAGTACAGACATCTCACTCAGGCTTTTACCCTCACTGGTCAAACGAATCAATCCAGTATCTTCTGTAATTTCAGTTCCAGCCTTCTACACCTGCACTGCATAAACTTTTCTTCCTAAACTCCCAGGTTCCACCCCATAGTTGATTCATCAAGCTTCTCCCATTGCTTAGACTTCTCTTCCTCCTGCCCCTTAAGAACACATAATCATCACCTGAGAGGCCCTATAACTCCCACAAAGTGCTTCTTGGCTCCCAAGGAACCATCTTAGAATAGTAACTGCGTACAGTAATTGTCCACGCATCACCTTCTCTCTACATAGCCTTGTCTTCCCACTTCACCTTTGTATCTCCTAGGTACAAGACTGTCACTAAATGTTAAAATGAATGCTTCAACTCGACTGGGACATACTCCATTTTATTAATCCTCCTCAAAGAACCCAGGTTGGCTGAGCTTTGAAAAAAAATGTTTGTTCTGAGAGCACAAAAAAATCTCTCCTTAGTATACCCACGATGGAGTGATATACATTCTCTACCTTATTTGAAGATTTTGTGAGAAGGCCTTGCATAGTATGTATAGATTAAGCACTCTCCCCCCTCTCAGCACACAATCTAATGCTAACTCCTTCCTGTTTATCTTGATCCCTACAAGCATTCTAAAAATGTAAACCAGGAGGAGTGTGGTAAAGTGGTAAAGCAGTTGACTAGCATGTACAGGTTCTGGGTTCAGTCCCATTGCCTGCAGGGATGGGGGTGGCGCACACAATACAAGATAATTTATTTGCTTGGTGTAGTAATATACACCTCTGATCCTAGCTACTCAGGAGGCTAAAGTTGGAGGATCCCAAGTTTAAGGCCAGCATGGGCAGCAAGACCCTGACTGAAAATTTAAAAACAAGGAGGGGGGGCGGTTGGGGATGTAGTTCAGTGGTATAATGCTTGCTTAGCATGCTCCAGGCCATAACAAAACACAACAAAAATCATCAGGTGTCCAGGGACATACTCCATTCTACATCCTCCTCGAAGAAAGAATATCCGATAGGTAGGTAAAACACTGTCTAGCTCTTGGCCCTGTACTTTCTATTTCTTAGCATTTACACAGCATCTTCACATTTCCAAAGTAAGGTACCAACATTTATTAATCCTCACAACACCCCTGTGAGGTAGGTCAATATGTCCTTTATAGTAGAGAACAGAGGCAGACGTCTAGCAACCTGCTCAAACTTGCTTGAGACCACAGGGCTTCTGGGGAAGGACTACAGCTGAATCCAGAAGCTAGGTCCCAACATCCCACCACTGGTGGAAACTGCATGGGCATATTCTTACCAATGAAGGTTACATGAAGGACAAAGTACATAGCTCTCTCAGCCAACAACAGAAAAACCAACAGTTCAAATGGCATTGGGGAACATGTCAATTAAAAAGACAAAACATTAACCGGTACATGAGTGAGGCAAGAGAACATGCTGCTGAGAAAGGCTGGAATCGTGACTGGCAATAAGACAGAGACCAGGTGACCAGGCAATCTTCAGAACCATTTGGGAAAATGTAAACAAATCAGGAACCCATTCAAGGGGTGACCAGCTCAAATGCCTGAAGTTAGAAAAAGACAGTGGAAAAGTCCAACCACTCAATCTAACTTTAAAGTAGAAATGACAATAATGTTCATTCACATTAGAAAGGCCAATATTATTTGTAATGTAACTACTCACAATTAGTATCCTATATGCACACCAACTTTCATCCCAAATAGTCCCTTTTCTTCACACGCAACAACTGTCCTTATAGCAGACTTTTCCCCTTCTACACATCAGTCTATATACTGGCATAACTACCAAGTGGTTCAATAGCATACATCTCATGGTTAACTGGCTGAGTTAGGGACGGAATCCAGAAAAACAGACTGCATGCTGCTCCTCTCCTGCCTTTGCCCAGTTCCACCTATGAAGTGCACATGGGTGAGCAGTTCATTCTTTTCTAAAGGGATTAGTGAACCTGGTTCAATATGCCATTTTAAAAGAAATAGGGGGGAAAAGGAGAAATCAAGACCTGCACTGTAAAGCATAATATCGGAGTAGATTTATTAGAACTACTCCAAAATTTTAGAGTGATACCATGACCACAAAGTTAAAAACTATAACTGTTATCGCTGGTTATTTTACAATAATTGGTTTAGTCTACAAGTTTAAGGCAAACATACAAATGCATTTGCTTTTCTTCAGAGATCATACTTCTAAAGATTACATAAAGTCTGGCCCAAACCTTTTATGTTGATTAATTAAACGTAAGTTTGATTAAGATGCTTTACAAGAATGAATGAAATAAAGTATACAATGCTTTTTAAAAATGAAATTTAAAAAAAATTCAGAAAGGCAATCTTTATCTCGTTTGAACAATGTATTTTAAAAAGGTTAAACTTCAGAAATTATTTAAAGGTAAATAAGATTGGCAGCCATAAGGAATACTATTTATAAAGTAAACACAGTTATAGAGGCTACTTAAAAATAAAGACCAAACTTTGGGCTTCTGAGTAGGACGACTGCACGGTGACAGACCACCGTCTAGAGGAGCAGAGTGCAGCCTCACATCACACAGATGGGCATTGCGGGTGCACAGCGCTGCTCCACTATTTCTCAGAAAAAGAAGAGTAGATGCACTTTGTCAGCTGTTTTGTTTTCAGTGAGCATAAATGCTTTAACATCATTAAGAAAACAAAAATAAGATTTAAAGGAAGGCAGCCCTTTTTAATAGGAAGTAGAATGTGGCTTATGTGTCTCCATTTAACACTGCCAGGCAGTTCTGCAGTAACTGGAGGTTACCCTAAAAAGAAAGAAAAAATAAGTTATGAATGTCTTTAATTCAAAACAGTTTGAAAACATCTTACTGAAAATATACATGATTAGAAACCAAACCATTTAAAATTTGTTAAGATACCAGAATTTTGCAAACAGCCATTCATTACAGTCAAATAAAGGTTTAAAGACAATTAAAAAAAAAAAAAAACAGATACTTCAGTAAATTTCTATCTAGACCAATATTAATGGTTTGGATTATCTGACATGTTCTGGTAAGCATAAAGTATGCCTTTTGTGTCTTAAGTTTAATTATTGAACTTGACTCCTAATTTTACGACAGGTTTTATTGCTTCCTTTAGCTATATATACATTAGCATAAATGTACAATTTTTTGTAAACACAGACCACTTACAAAAGTATTCTATAAAATTATCCCTTGTACCTGCATACCCCTGGGTAGAACCAGTGAACTTGCATCCAAATTTATAGATAATAAGGACAAAGACGGTTAAGTTACATTAATATGCAAAAGGGGGTGAAGGGACAGCTCTTCCTTACAGAAGAAAGTCAACTACAATGGAAAAATGATGATGGAATTAAAAAAAAAACAACAACCATTTGGGGCTGGGGCTATAGCTCAGTGGCAGGGTACCTGCATTTGCCTAGTATGTGTGAGGCCCTGGATTTGCTCCCCAGCCCCATCCAAAAAAAAAAAAAAAAAAGAGGGAGAGACAGAAAAAGGAAGAAAGAAGAAAGAAAAAAAAAAAAAAAAAAGCTGGACACTGCAATCCTTGAGACTTGGGAGGCTGAGGCAAGAGGATCCCAAATTTAAGGCCAGCCTCAGCAACTCAGTGAGACTCTCAGGAACTTAATGAGACCCTTTCTCAAAATATAAAACAAAAAGAAGGACTAGGGATGTAGCTAAGTGGTACAGTACTAAAAAAAAAATAAAAGCAGCAGGGCATGTTGGCATATGCCTATAATCCCAGTGATTCTGGAAGCTGAGGCTCATAAATTCAAGAACAGCCTCGACAACTTAATGAGACCCTATCTCAAAATTTTAAAAAAGGGGTAGGGATATGGCTCAGTGGTAAAGGGCCTCTGGGTTTAATTCCTAGTACCCACACACACACACTCAAAAGGAGGAAGGAAATCGACATTTGGCAACTATCATAAAAAAAAGTGATTCAGGCAAGAATCATTATTTTTTTGGTGGGGGGTGGGGTGGGGTAGGTGGGACATAATATTGGGGATTAAACTCAGGGTACTCTACCACTGAGCTACATCCCCAGACACTTTTGTGGGGGTGAATGAGTACTAGGGATTGAACCCAGAGGCACTTTATCACTGAGCTACATCCCCTAACCCTTCTCATATTTTTGATACAGGGTCTCACTAAGTTGTCCAGACTGGCCTTGAACTTCCTACATCAGCCTCCCAAGTTGCTGGGATTACAGTGTAGCACCTAGCTTTCATCAATGGATCCTAAAAGCAATGTGGAAATACACTGTCAATACTACAGTTACTAGCCATAAGTAACTAGTTTTCATCAATTAAAATTAAATGAAGTTAAAAACTCAGTTCTGCAGCAGCACTACCCATATCTTAAGTGTCTGACAGCTAAAAGTGATCAGTGGTCATCATACTGGACAGTGCTGATTCTAGAACACTGCTATTACTGTACAAAGTTATACTGGAAAGTACTGGTTATGGGATATTTATATAGTCCCAAAGTACTTCTCTCCACAGAATACCTCCCTCATAACTACAAAGTATAAAGTATCTTTCTTTGGGGGGGTGGGGGGTGGGTTGGTACTGGGGATGTGGCTCAATGGTTAACCCTCCTGGGTTCAATCCCTGGTATAAAAGTTTTTTTTTTTTTGTATTTATTTTTTAGTTACAGGTGGACACAATATCTTTATTTTATTTTTATGTGGTGCTGATGATCAAGCCCAGTGTCTCACACATGGTAGGCAAGCGCTCTACCTCTGAGCCACAACCCTAGCTCCCCAATTTTTTTTAAAAGTTAGTTTAGGGGTTTATATTTTGTCCATGGTGAGCCAGAGTCTGTCTTTCTCTGTCTCTCTCTTGCTTCTTGGTGCCATGACCTGAGCTTCTTTCCTCTGCCTTGATGTTGTGCCTCAGCTCAAGCCTCAAGGAATAGAGCTGACCATCTCTGGACTGAGACCTCTGAAACTGTGAGCCCTAAATAAACTTTTCCTCCTCTAAAATTGTTCTTATTAGTTATTTTTGACACAGCAATGAAAAAAGCTAACTAAACAGGAGTATTCTATAAATAGTCCTGTACTCTTCAAAAATGTCAGTGGAGAAGCTGGGGGGTATAGTTCAGCAGGGAAGCATGTGCTTAGCCTGGGTTAGATCTCCAGTGCGGGGAACAATAAGACTATGTTCAAGAATACAAGCGATCTGGCTCTGGGGTTGTGGCTCAGGGGTAGAGTGCTGCCTAGTACATGTGAGGCCCTGGGTTTGATCCTCAGCACCACATTAAAAAAAAAAAAAAAAAATGTATTTTGTCCAACTACAACTAAAAAATAAATTATTTTTTTAAAAAAAGAATACGAGTGATCTAATCTAGCTTGCCGTTATAACTGGATTTCAATCATGTGGCAAGGCAAAACTATAATAAGTGAAATCCAAAGTAGTTTCCAACCACCTTACTGTACATTTTACTAATATCTAGTATTTTCAAAACAATTTATGTGGATTCTACAATGGAATCAACTGGGAAGGGCAAGGATAAAAGATGGACAGAACAAGTTCCATAAAGGGCATCAAAACAGAGTGGAAGAATTACTTTTGAGTTTTCTTTAGCACAGTAGGGTAACTAGTGTTTGTTTAATCTACAACAACAAGATGAGGAGGTCCATGCCTACAATACCAGCTGCCCAGGAGGCTGATGCAGAATGATCCTAAAATTGAGGCCACACTAGGCAATTTAGTGAGACCCTTTTCTCAAAATAAAAAATAAAAAGAGGGCTGGGGATATAGCTCAATGGTAAAGTACCCCCAGGTTCAAATCCCTGAACCATAAAATAAATAACTATGTTTCAAAACCAGTAGAGTATGAAAATTTCCAATACATAAAAATGATGAATGTTGGAGAAATGGAAATACTTATTACTGATTTCATTATTTTACATTGTGTACATGTACTGAATTACCATAATGTACCTCATAAAGATGTACAAATCTTATAATTTAAAAAATGGGATTGTTCAGATTTTCAAAAGCATTTAAGAGAATCTGAATACAATGAGCAGGGTCTAGGAAACAGGAGGCAGGAACAATGTCCAGCTACAAAAGTGGCAAGTAGCTCCTGAAACAGCTCAAGACATGGATGAGGAAGATGAGCAGAAACAAAAAGAGAAGAAACTAGAGAAGCTAAATGTGAAGGCCTGTGGGAAAAGACCCCTAGGCCACAGGAGAAATTAAGAAATCTGTCAAAAAGTAAGTAGTTGTTTGAGCCTGAGATGAAGATGTGTGACCTTGATTTCATTCATATTTAAATATCTGAATTCCCTGCTATAGTATCTTTTGCCCCCTAAAGCTAGAATGAAGTGTTATCTTGAAGTCTGTTGCAAATTTAAGAATAAACTTTTGTTTAAAAATAGTGGGGTAGGCAATGGAATATTACTCAGCACTAAAAAATAACACGATCATGGCATTTGCAGGCAAATGGATGGCATTAGAGCAGATTATGCTAAGTGAAGTTAGCCAATCCCTAAAAAAACAAATGCCGAATGTCTTCTCTGATATAAGGGGGGTGACTCAAAATGGGATAGGGAGGAAGAGCATGAGAAGAAGACTACCACTAAATAGGGAAGAGAGGTGGGAGGAAAAAAGAGGGAGAAGGAGAGTTGCACGGAAGATGGAAGGAGAACCTCATTGTTATACAGAATACATATATGATGTTGTGATGAGAAAAAGAAAAAAAAAGTGTGTCACATTAGATTGGATAGAGAGAAAGGAGGGGAGAGGAGGGGAAGAGTAGGGGGATAGGAAGGGCAGCAGAATAGAATAGACATTATGATTGATGTATGTACATTCCATGTATGTATTATATGTAAAAATACATTCTGCTGTCATGTATGACTAAAAAAAAATAAAAATAAATCGTATGGTTAAAAAAAAAAGAAAGAAAAAAAATAGTGGGGTAGGGAGGGGGAGTATGGGAGGAATAGAGAACTTTAGATAGGGCAGAGTGGTTAGAGGGGAAGGGAGGGGGCATGGGGTTATTAATGATGGTGGAATGTGATGATCATTATTATCCAAAGTACACATATGAAGACAAAAATTGGTGTGAATATACTATGTATACACCCAGAGATATGAAAAATTGTGCTCTATATGTGTAATAAGAATTGTAATGTATTCCACTGTCATATATCAAATTTAAAAAAATAATTAAATAATAAATAAACAAATAATATAGAGAAAGCCAGCCTCAGCAATGGTGAGGTACTAAGCAACTCAATGAGACCCTGTCTCTAAATAAAATACAAAATAGGGGTGGGGATGTAGCTCACTGGTGGAATGCCTCCAAGTTCAATCCCAGGTACCTGCCCCCCATCCCCACAAAAAAAGAATGGGGGAGGGGGAAGAAATTTGAATACAGAGAAAAACTCATTTCAAAAGGTTTATAAAGGTACAGAGTCTAGAAACCAGAGGCAGAAATCAGCAAACTTTTTCTGCGAAAGACTAAACAGTAAATATTTTTGCACTGGAGAGACATTTGGTTTCTGTTCCAACTACTCCATGGCATAAGCAGCCAGAGACAAACTCGAATGAATGGCTGTGTTCCAAGAAAATCTTATTTACAGATACTTAAGTTTGAATTTCATGTAATTATCACTATTCTTCATTTGCTTTTAAACAAACATTTAAAAATGTGAACATCATTCTTGGCTCACAGACTGTACCAAAACAGACTAGTTTGCCAACCCCTAATCTACAAAATTTAATAATTTTTTTGGTTGTGGTGATGGTGGTGCTGTGGATTGAACCACAGCCTTGCCCGTGCTAGGCAAGTACTGTACCATTGAGCTACATCCCCAGCCCTTACAACAGAATTCTTGCTAGTTCAAATCTCTTTAAAAAAGAATAAAACAGTGGACATTAGAAACCAACACAGGTTCAATAAGATTAAATCATGCCAAGCTTAACAAAACATTTTTGGGAGGGGGGTTACTGGGGAATGAACCCAGGAGTGCTTAACCACTGAGCCACATCCCCAATCCTTTTTTTTTTTTTAAATATAAACAATGTAGATGGACACAATCTATTTTATTTATTTATTTATTTTTACGTGGTGCTGAGGATAAAACCCAGTGCCTCATGCATGCAAGGCAAGTGCTCTACCACTGAGCTAGCCCCCCAATCCTTTTTATTTTGAGACAGGGTCTTGCTAAGTTGCTGAGGGCCTCCATAAATTGCTGAGGTTGGCCTGGAACTCGGATCCTCCAGCTTCCCAAGTTACTATGATTACAGGCATGCACCACCACACCTAGCGAAGAACTAACATACTGAAAAAGGTATCATTATAAGCCAAGTCCAGCCAGTGCGATATGGCAGTGAAAAAAGCTATCTTGGCTCAGATGTAATTCACTGGTAGAACACATCTTGGTTTTCTCAAGGTCTTGGGTTCAATACCTATCAACACAGAAATAGACACAAAAGCTATCTTATAAAAAAAGGTACCTTATGTAAGGTCTAAATTATAAAAGGGGAATTAAATTTATCTTCATTACTTAGACCTATTCATTAGTTGATGCAGATCTGTATTCCTTATAGGGGGTTCCAAATACCTTGGTACAGTTTTTAGGTTTAAGAATTTAAGAATGTAAATGCTCTAATCTATCAAAAAAATTACACTTAAACTGGGTGTGGTAGTACATTTCTGTAATACCAGTGACTCAAGAGGCTGAAACAGGAGGACAGCAATTTGGAGGCAGACCTCAACAATTTAGCAAGAACCTGTCTCAAAATAAAAAATAGCCAGGTGGAGTAGCACACACCTGTAATATCAGCAGCTCGGGAGGCTGAGGCAGGAGAATTACCAGTTCAAAGCCAGTCTCAGCAAAAGTGAAGCACTAAGCAACTCAGTGAGACCCTGTCTCTAAAAAAATACAAAATAGGGCTGGGGATGTGGCTCAGTGGTGGAGTGCCCCTGAGTTCAATCCCCAATACAAAAAAAAAAAAAAGGGATGGGTGGGGATATAGCTCAGTAGTGAAGTACCTTTAAGGGTTAATATCCTTAAAGGATATTAACCCTTAAAGGTACCTATCCTTAATAATAAACATTATTGGTTTAACTGACCCCCAAAAAACAAAAATGACAACAACAACAACAAAAAAAAAAAACAAACCTAAAAGTTTATATTAATTTCTTGGAGAAATTTAAATACATTTTGTATTTATAGTCTCTCTAAAGATAGAAATGTTAAATAAACATTTTTGGTTTATTCTTTTTAAAATTTCTTTAATATAAAAAACTTACAATGCTGGGGGTATAGCTTGGTGGTAAAGTGCATACCCAGCATGTGTTCAAACCCCAGAACCACAAATACACAAAAAAAAGTTCCCAAAACCGTGTGTTCACCATCAACAATTTTCTTTCTTTTTTTTTTTTTAAACTAAAAATACTTAGGGAAAAAAAAAAAAAAAAAAACTAGTTAAAAAATATTTTCCTGTTAGGTCCTAGATTCTTTCAGAGCAATATTCTTGCTTGAATTAAATAATCTTTAAAATATTTCCCAATTCTGAGATTATCTATTTTTAAAATTACCATAGTTTGAGGGCTGGCATTATAGCTCAGTTGGTAGAGGGCTTATATTGCATGCACAAGGCCCTAGGTTCAATCCCCAGCACCACAAAAAAAATAAATAAATAAAAATAAAAAAAATACCATAGTTTGAGCCAAGCTTTATCTTTATATTACATGCAAGAAGAGGTTGTGGCTCAGAAGTACAGTGCTCACCTAGCACATGTGAGGCACTGGGTTCAATCCTCAGAACCACATAAAAATTACAAATAAAGTTACTGTGTCCATCTATAACTGAAAAAAAAAATAATAATAAAAAGAGGTTTACTTCAAAGTAAACAAATACCAAACAAATACCAGAAGGAAGCCATTTATTTACTAAAACCAAATATTTAACAGGGTGGGGCATGCCTATAATCCCTGCAACTCAGAGCAATTTAGCAAGATTCTGTCTTAACAAAATAAAGAACTGGAGATGTAGCTCAGTGGTAAAGCACCTGAGTTCAATCCCTAGTAAAAAGTTAAACCAACTATTTTGAAGCAGTGTAATCATCTTGGAAAACATAATTCTCATTCAAAAACAGTTCTTAGGATGTCCTTATAGAAGGTAACTATCATTATAGGATTATCAATTTTATAACTGACTCAATTTTAAATGTCATGTCATTTAAATTTATTAAATCTTTTAACACAATACTACCTTTGCATGCTTCAGTTCTAATTCTGCAAGTTCCACTAAATTTTTTCTAAATGCAGCAACTCTTCTTGTCTTAAAATCTATAAGTTCTGTGAACAACAAAAAAATAAATTAGAGTTAATTCACATAATAATCATGAAGCATATCTTGTGATTAAAAGGTAAGTTAACAGTACCTTGTTTTGCAGATTCAGATATTTTTTCAAACTTCTGACAACATAATTGTTGGGAAGTTTCAGCCTGTAGAACATCTTTATTTTTCGCTCTTGCTTTATCCAGTGCTTTGTTAGCATTTTCATAATCCACTAGTGATCGAGATCTTCGGTAGAGGAGATCCTATAAAACAATGTATCATAATGTATGATGTTATGTTTCTAGTAGTTTCACTCTACTATCTCCACTACCACCACCTCCAGATATAAAATTATATAGTGAATAATACAGTTACTTTTTTGTTTATTTATTCTGTTCTGACCCAGGACCTTGCACATGCAGCACTCTACCATTGACTGAGTTACACCCCCAGGCCATAAATGTCTTTTTTAATTAACATCTTTACTGAGACATAATTCACACCATACATACCATTTAAACTACAAAATTTAAAATGAGAAATTATACTCCAATTGATTTAAATATATGAATTGCCAAGATCATTGTAATGTCATGTGTAGCTAATAAAATAAACAAACAAACTACAAAATTTAATGGTTTTTAGTATGTTGACAATTATAAAACCATCATCACAACCAATTTTAGCCCTGGGCAACCATTACTCTGCTTTTGTTCCCTTCACTTTTTCTTTCTTTCTTCTTTTTTAGCACTCTGAAGCCTAGCATACGCTAGCAAGTACTGTATCACTGAACTAAATACTTTGCCCCACCCCCCAACCACTGGTTGGTTTGTTAGAGACAGTATCTCAATAAGTTGCCCAGGTTGGCCTCAAACTTGCAATCCTCCTGCCTCACCTCCTGAGCAGCTGGGATTACAGGCGTGCAATACGTGGCTATTAATCTAGTACAGATTGGTCTATTCTGAACATTTCATAAAAACTGAATCATATAATATGCATCTTTTGTGTCTGTGGCTTCTACCATTTAGTAAGTTTCAAGTTCATCCACACTGTAACATAAATTAGTTACTTCGTTCCTTTCTACTGCAAAATAGTATTTCATTATACAGATAAGTTTGTAAGTTGACATATACAATATTTAAGTTTATTAATTAAGTATTTATTTTTCTAATACTGGGATTGAATCCAGGAATTTGAGACAAATTCCCAGCCCTTTTTGAGACAAGATTTCACTAAATCACATAAGCCAACCTCAAACTCATGATCCTCCTGCCTCAGGCTCCCGAGTTACTGGGATTACAGGCATGTGCTACAGTACCCAGTGACAATTTAATTTTAACAGAGTTTGTTTTATTTTTCTCACTGGTTGATAAGCTTAAACCATTACCTAACTAATCCAAGATCAAGAAAATTTATGTCTGGGTAGTATTCTAAAAGTTTTTCAGTTTTAGCTATTTTATATGTTCTGTTAGGAAGGGGTCAAATTTCATCCTTTTGCATGTGGCTATAGCTGTCCCAGTATCAGCTGTTGAAATCATTTTTTTTTGCGGGGGGTGGGGGTGGGGCGCAGAGAATACCAGGGATTGAACTCATGGGCACTCAACCACTGAGCCACATCCCCAGCCCTATTTTGTATTTTATTTAGAGACAGGGTCTCACTGAGTTGCTTAGCGCCTCCCTTTTACTGAGGCTGGTTTTAAACTTGCAATCCTCCAGCCTCAGCCTCCAGAGCCACTGGAATTATAGGCATGGGCCCCCTCATCCAACAAAATCATTCTTGTCCCTACTGCATTATCTTAGCAATGCTGTCAAAAATCAGTTGACTGACTCAGTAAATTCAAACTAGAAGGAAATTTTCCTCAACTCGATAAGAAAAAAATCTCCAAAAAACATCATACTCAATGGGAGAAACTAAAAGTATTCTGCTAAGATCAGAAATAAAACAAGGAGGATGTCTCTTCTAATCACTCCTTTCAACACTGTAAAAGTCCTAATTAATGCAATAAGAAAGAGAAATAAAAGGCATACAGATCAGGAAGGAGAAATAACACTGTCTTTGTTCATAGACCTGACTGTGCAGAAAATCTGAAATAAAGGGAAAAAAAAATCTCCTGGAGGGAATAGGAGCTAATAAATGATTATAACAAGACTGGAGGACACAAGGTTAATATATACAAAAGTAAATCACTTTTTTTTGGGGGGGGTACTGGGGATGGAACTCAGAGGCACTCAACCACTGAGCTGCATCCCCGCACTATTTTATATTTTATTTAGAGACAGGGTTTTACTGAGTTGCTAAGCACCTCATCTTTGCTGAGGCTGGCTTTGAACTCCAGATCCTCTTCACTCAGCCTCCTGAGCCACTGGGATTACAGGCTTGTGCCTCCACATTCTTACATATTGGTAATGAACAATTGGAATTTGTTTAAAAAAAAAAAATTACAGTAATACTCCCCAAAATGACACAAAATGAAATACTTAGACATTTATTTCATAAAGATATACCAGATTTGCATGAAGAAAACTACAAATCTCCGATGAAAGAAATAAAAGAAGCTGGGTGCAGTGTGCATGCCTGTAATCCCAGTGCCTTAGGCTGAGGCAGGAGGATTTTGAGTTCAAAGCCAACCTCAGCAAAAGTGAGGCACTAAGCAACTCAGTGAGACCCTATCTCTAAATAAAATACAAAAAAGGGCTGGGGATGTAGCTCAGTATTTGAGTGGCCCTGAGTTCAATCCCTGGTACCCCACCCCCAACCAGAAAGAAAGAAAAGAGAGAGAGAGAGAGAGAGAGAGAGAGAAAGAAAGAAAGAAAGAAAGAAAGAAAGAAGCTAAAGCTAAATAGATAGATATTCCATATTCATGGACAGAAAGACTCAATATTTTCAAGATAGCAATTCTTTTTCTTTTTTTAAGATAGCAATTCTTTCAAACTTGATTTACATATTCAATGCAATTCAATCAAAATCCCAGCAAGTTACTTTGTAAATGTCAACAAACTGATTTTAAAGTTTAAACAGAGAGGCAAAGAACCTACAATAGCCAACACAATATGGAAGGAGAACAAAGTTGCAAGACTAACATTACCCAATTTCAAGTCTTACTATACTACAGATGGTTTTGTATGATGAAAGAACAGACAAATAGATCAATGGAACATTGTTTTAGCAACATGGTCAAAAACAGCCCAGAAACAGAACCACACAAATACAGTCAATTGATCTTTTCACAAAGGAGCAAAGATAAGACAAAGAACAAAGAGATTTTTCAAAGAGTTCTGGGTTTTTTTTTTTTTTTAGTACTGGGGATTGAACCCAAGGACACTTTACCACTGAGATGCATTCCCAGTCCACCGCCCTCTTTTTGGGGGTGAGAAAGGGTTTCACTAAGTTGCTGAGGTTGGCCTTAAACTTGTGCTTCTCTCCTGCCTCAGCCTCCAAATTGCTAGGAATACAGGTGTATGCCACCACACGGTAATAAGAGGTTCTGAAACAAATAAAAATCCACATGCAATAAAAAATGTTTAAATTATACTTAGATTTTACACCCTTCACAAAAGTTAACTAAAATGAACCATAAACCTAAATATAAAAGGCAAGGCTATAAAACTCCTAGAAGGGCTGGGGGGTATGGTAGAACACTTTCCTAGCACTAATGAGGCCCTGAGTTTGATTCCCAGCACCAAAATAAGTTTGTTTTTTTGTTTGTTTGTTTTTAAATAAAAATTTGTCTGCAAAAGATGCTCCCTAGAAAATGAGAAGACAAGGGGATACAGCTCAACTGGTAGAGTGCTTGCCCCACATGCACAAGTTCAAACCCAGCACCACATTAAAAAAAAAGAAAATGAGAAGACAAGTCACAGACTAGGAAAAAATATAAACAATCCAACTTAAAAATGAGCAAAAGAGGGCTGGGGTTGTGGCTCAGAGGTAGAGCATGAGCCTAGCATGTGTGAGGCACTGGGTTCAATTCTCAGCACCACATAAAGTAAAATAAAGACACTGTGTCCACCTATAATTAAAAATAAATATCAAGAAAAAAATGGGCAAGAGACACCTTACCAAAAACAAAACACAAGACAGATCAGCATATGGAAACATGTTTCACATCATTTTAGAGAAATGTGAATTAAAATACAAGGTAACATGCTTATAATCCCAGTGACTGGACTGGCCAAGGGAGGTTTGCAAGTTCGAGGGCAGCCTCAGCAACTTAGTGAGACTCCAACAACTTAGATCCTGTCTCAAAATAAAAAAAAAAAAATAAAAAGGACTGGGGATGTAGCTCTGTGGCAAAGTGTTCCTGGGTTCAATGCTCAGTGAAAAAGAGAAAGAGAAAGAAGGAAAGGAAGGAGGGAGGGAGACAATGAAATACCACTATATATCTATTAGAATGGCCAACATCCAGAACACTGACAATATACACCAATGCGGGCAAGGATACAGACATTGCTAGTAGAAATGGTACACCAACTTTGGAAGACAGTTTGGTGGTTTCTTTTTTTTTTTTTTGGAGAATTTTAATATTTATTTTTTAGTTTTCTTGGCGGACACAACATCTTTGTTTGTATGTGGTGCTGAGGATCGAACCCGGGCCGCACGCATGCCAGGTGAGCGCGCTACCACTTGAGCCACATCCCCAGCCCCAGTTTGGTGGTTTCTTACAAAATTAAACACAGTCTTACTCTATGACAAAGCAATTTCACTTAAAAAAAAATTTATCGATGGACAGCATGCCTTTATTTATTTTTTTATACGGTGCTAAGGCTCGAACTCAGTGCCTCACACATGCTAAGGAAACGCTCTGCCACTGAGCTACACAGCCCCAGCCCAGCAATTGCACTCTTTACTTACACCAATGAATGTCTTTACAAGCCTGCACACCGGTATTTATAGCAGCTTTATTTATAATTGCTAAAACTTGAAAGCAACGTACATGGTCTTTAGTAGATGAATGGATAAGCTATGGTATATCCAAATAAGGAAATATTACATATCATTAAAAGAAATTAGTTATCAAGCCAAGAAAAGACAACAGAAGAAATTTAAATGCTTATTACTAAGTGAAAGAAGTCAATCTGAAGAGGCTACATGCTGTATGATTCCAATTACATGACACTCAGGAAAAGCAAAACTATGAAGACAGTAAAAGATAGGTGGTTAGCCAGGTATGGTAGCACATGCTCATGGTTCCAACTACTCAGAAGGCTGAGGCAGCAAGATTATTGAGCCCAGGGTTCAAGACCAGCTTGGGCAACACAAACCCTGTCTTAAAAAACAATCAATAATAATAAAAATAAATCAAAAAAATAAAATAAATAAAAACCATATCAGGCTGGGGATAGAGAAGATGAACAGACAGAACATAGCACATTTTTAGGTCACTGAAACTATCCTATATGATACTATAATAATGGTACATGTCTATACCTTTTCCAAACCCAAAGAACACACAAAATCAAGAGTGTAAACTATAGATTTTGGGGGGAAGCCATCCATGAAATACATGAGGACCTTCTCTTGGCATGGAAGCCAAGGAGGGATAGGCCTGGCATTGGGAACTTCTAGTGGCTCTTCTGCAGTGACAGACAGCCAAAAGCATGTGACCTTCCCCTCTGCTCTGCTAGAAAGGTTCCTCATAGTAGCACTAGAGATGGCATAACCCATTAATGACTGAACAGCCTACCTTTAACCTTTTTTTTTTTTAAGCTAGCTGTTGATGGACCTTTATTTTATTCATTTATTTATATGTGGTGCTGAGAATTGAATCAAGTGTCTCACACATGTGAGGCAAGTGTTCTACCACTGAGCCACAACCCCAGCCACCTTTAACCTTTTTTGGAAAAGAACATTTTATAGAATATCTTCAATGTCTCTGGATATAAATAAAGCAGGCACAGACCCCATTTTGTCAGGAGCCTGATCTGTCTGGTCAGCTTGCCAGTCCTGCCCCTGCTTTTGAAACTACTTTTTATGTTCTACGGTTCTATTTTTCCTAGCTTTTATTTCTCAGCTAGCCCATTCCACTGAAGGGAACCCCATTCCCACCACCAGGGTGGGACATGGGTGGGAGACTTTGTTGCCTGGTCTCTTTTTTTTTTAATATTTATTTTTCAGTTTTCGGCGGATACAACATCTTTATTTTATGTGGTGCTGAGGATCGAACCCAGTGCTCCGCGCATGCCAGGCGAGCGCGTTACCACTTGATCCACATCCCCAGCCCTGCCTGGTTTCTTTCATTCCGTAAATAAAACAAACAAAAATAAAGTGGGGTCATTTATTCATTTGCCACATGTTGGGGCTCATGCATGCTAGGCAAGTGCTCTACAACTGAGCTTCATTCCAGCCCCAAATTACTTTTAAGTTCATCACATAGTTTCATCTTATCTGTAGCTCATTCCGTTTTATTGTTGAGTGGTATTCCATTATATGCCAATAGCACAGTCTGTCTAGACATCTGTGTTGTTACCAGTTTAAAACTATTACAAATAAAATCGCTGTGAAGGTATGCATAGAAATATGACTTCACTTCTTGTGGGTAAACACCCAGAAGTGATGTAACTTGCTTTTGTTTTAAATTAAGTCTCTGGTTAAGTGTTTACAATGTATATTAAATAAGTACATATTTGTTGTCTTGTGTAAAATAAAATATACTTTTTTTTTTTTTTGTACTGGGGATTGAATCCTGAGGCCCTTTACCACTGACGACATCCTTGGTCCTTTTTATTTTGACATAAGATCTCACTAAATTGCTAAGACTAACCTTGAACTTGTGATACTCCTGCCTCAGCCTCCAAAGATGCTTGAATTACATGCATATACCACAGCACCCAGCTGTGGACCATATACTTATAAGTGTCTAAATACTCAAAATTAAAATTAAAAGGTTTTTGATTATTTGATAAAAACTGTCAGCCAGGCTGGGCGAGGTGATACACATCTGTAATCCCAGCGGCTCAGGAGGGTGAGGCACGAGGGTCACTAGTTAAAAGCCAGCCTTAGCAACTTACCAGGGCGCTATAGCAACTCAGTGAGACCCTATGTCTAAATAAAATACAAAAAAGAACTGAGGGGCTGGAGTTGTAGCTCAGTGGCAGAGTACTCACCTAGCAAGTGTGAGGCACTGGGTTCGATCCTCAGCACCACAAAAAAATAAAATAAAGCTATTGTGTCTACGTACAACTAAAAAGTATATATATATATATATATATATATTTTTTTTTTTTTTTAAAAAGGACCAGGAAGTGGCTTGGTAATTAAAGCGCCCCTGGATTTAATCCCTAGTACAAAAAAAAAAAAAAAAAAGTCAGCCAGGCATGGTGGTACATGTCTATAATTCCAGTGGCTCTGGAAGCTGAGGCAGGAGGACTGTAAGTTCAAAGCCATCATCAGCAACTTAGCAAGGCCCTAAGCAACTTAGTGAGACCCAGTCTCTAAATAAAATATATTAAAAAAAAAAAAACCTGAATGGGGATTTGGCTCAGTGGTTAAAGTGGCCCTGGGTTCAATTTCCAGTACCAAAAAAAAAAAAAAATCAATACCTCTGATCAGATAGGAATTTCTGTAGAATATCTTAAGTTTTTAGTGCTTTGTAGACATCTATGTTAAAAAATGTTTTTGAGGACTGGAGTTGTGGCTCAATGGTAGAGTACTTGCCTGGCATCTGTGAGGCCCTGGGTTCGATCCTCAGCACTGCATATAAATAAATAAATAAATAAAATAAAAGATCCATTTATAACTAAAAAAATATTTTAAAAAATGTTTTTGATTACTAAGAGGTTTTTTGCACATAGCTTTCTAACAAGAAATGTGAGCCGCCCTAAAATTAAGCATGTTTTTGTTTCATGGTGCTTTCATCCTCGATGGAGGACTCATACAAACTTCATTTATGTTTTTGCAGGAGTTTACCTAAAGAAATATACCAAATTTTTGGTTTTAAATTTCTAGATCATATTATATCAAAGGTTTATAAACTTTTTAAAAAATATTTATTTCACAACCAACAATAAAAATTAAAAAATATATATTTATTTCTTAGTTACAGACACAATATCTTTATTTTATTTTTAAGTGGTGCTAAGGATCGAACCCAGTGCCTCATGCATGCGAGGAGGCAAGCACTCTTCCTCTGAGCCACAATCCCAGCCCCAAAAAGTTTATAAACTTTTATGTGGGATTCCCTGATCTACAATTCCAAGAGGAGAAAAAAAAATTTACATTTGAAAATATAATATCCAAAAATAAGCCATCCTTTAAACAGTTTAAGTCCAGCAACCTGTAAAGAAACGAACAATAAAGTTACCTTAGCCGCTTGAGATTCTCTTAAGTAATATTTCAAAAGGTCAGAAAGTTTGAGGTCTTCATCAGCAGATACTCTTGCTTCTATTTTCTGAAAAAAGGGGGGAAACTGGGTATGAAATCAATAAATCATCACTCAACATTCTCATTAATAATTACGAAAAAAATTAAAGTTATAAATAACTGCAGTATCTGTTTGTTTTATCTAGCTTTCTTTCCTTTTTCCTTCCTTCTAGTTTTTTGCTTTTCTTTGCAACTCTGACAAAATGTTTTGTATGTGGTGCTAAGGATCGAACCCAGGCAGCACGAATGCCAGGCAATCGCGCTACCGCTTGAGCCACATCCCCTGACAAAATACGAACAGAAAAATCAGATCAATGACATTAGTGAACTTATAGAAAGATTTTATATCTGATTCCAGTTCTTGGCTACAACAGGTGTCAACATCAATAGCTTCATTTATCTATTTATTTCAATGGCAAGTGCTATGTACATATGATTTTAAGATAACAAAGGCTGGCAATGGCAGATTAGATAATTCAAACCAAACCTTCTTAAGTAGAAAATCTGGTCAAAGCATTAATAAAAAGTACTTGAGGACACCAAAGAAGCATCAAAATGTAGTAAATTGAGCTGGGATGGAAATGGGAAGTAGCCATGCCAGACTTAAAAAGATGAGAACTCTTTGAATCTGGAGAGACCTAGGATAAGAGAAATGTATCATGTCAATCAAATGCAATATCGGGCTTCATTTGGATTCTGACTCAGACTACACTGTAAAAAAGCTACTTATGAGATAACAGGGAAAAATCTATACACTGGGCATTTGGTGACATAATCATGGATAACAGTAAGGGCCATATTAAATCTAATAATTCTTATCTGTAAAAAAGGAGAGATGTACACAAAAGGATACAAAACAGAATAAATATGTACTATTTTTAAACTTTACTATAAATATGAAATTATCATCAAAAGTTAAAAACAAACAAAAAACCCTACATGCACACCAGCAAGCTGTGGAATAACCTGAATGTTCTCATTCATTCTGCTAGAAGTATAAATTGGTACAATCACTTTGGGAAACAAATTGGCAGTATCTACTGAAGCTTTTCATATGAATACTCTATGATCCACCAATTTGCTTCCTAGTTATATAAACCAACAGAAATGTATACTGGAGTTCTGCCAAGGATATACAATTGTCTTTTTTTAAAATATTTTTGGTTGTAGATGGACACAATAAATTTATTTTATTTATTTTTTATGTGATGCTGAGGATCAAACTCTGTGCCTCACACATACTAGGCAAGCGCTCTACCACTAAGCTAAACCCTAGCCCATACAATTGTCTTAACAGTAGTATCTGTAAAGAATCCCAGACCCGCTGGGGGCAGTGGTGCTCGCTTATAATTCCAGCTACTTGGGAGGCTAAAGCAGGAGGATTGTAAATTCAGGGCCAGCTTCAGCAATTAGTGAGATCCTACTGCCTAATAAAAAGAACTGGGGATGCAGCTCAGTGATAAAGCATCTCTGGCTTCAATTTCCAATATACAAAATAAGAACCCCTGTTGGGCACACTGGTGCACACCTGTAATCCCAGGGACTCTGGAGGCTAAAACAGGAAGATCACAAGTTCAAGGCCAGTCTCAGCAACTTAGACCCTGTCTCAAAATAAAAAGGGTTGGGAATGTAGCTCAGTGGGAGAGAACCACTGAGTTCAAGCCCAGTATCACAATCAATAACACCGACATACAGAACCCCAAACAAACTATACAAATGACTACCAACTAAAAGTAAAACAGATAAATTAATGGAATACTATACAGCAATCAGAAAAAAGGAACTACATGTATGCAACAACATGGGGATCAATGTTGAATAAATAAAACTAGACATAAAGAATACATACTACATAAGCATTTATATAACAGAAACAAAATAAATCTCTAGTGTCAGAAACTAGGAAAGTATTCCTTTTGTGGAAAGTGGTGTCTTATGAGGTAGGTGAAGAGGGGCAGGGCATTCTGTGAAGCTGGTAATGTTTTATTTCTTGATCTTGGTGTTGACAACAATTGTGAAATTTCACTGAGTCACATATACACTTCTGATGTATATATGACTATTTATCTAATATACTGCAATAGAAGGTTAAAAAAACTTGAAGCTTCTAAAAATTACTACATTGTGGAGAAATAAACTTACGGAATCCTTTTTCTTTTGAAGTGCTGGGGATTAAAACTCAGGGCCCTGTTCATGTGAGGCAAGTGCTCTACCACTGAGTTACAAACCCAGCCCAGGAATTTCTTACAAAGTATGCTAAAAATTTATTTAGATTGATAATAGTAGATAGTATGGGTGTTTTAAATTATGACTCCCCTCCTACCATTGAAAAGTAGGCTGCATGCCCCCACCCCTTAAATCAAGGTTCTTAGACTGACCAGTAGTAAGCACTGTGCCCGTTTCCAGGTCTCGGCTTTAACAAACCAGTAGCTTTCAATTCCTGTTATATGGGGTGGCTCACTTCTAGAAACTAAACACCAGGTTGTAAAACACAAGCAGTCTTGTGGAAAAGGCCACATGTATATGGGACGGCTTCTCCTAGCTCCCGCCCCCCAGCCACCTAATGCGGTAGCGAGGTTTACAGAAGAGACTAGCAAGAGAGAGAGAACACGCCAGGGAGTGGGCTTTTATTGGAGAACAAAAAATTCCAGGGAAAATCCCATTCAATGAAGGTTAAGGGGGGCAGCATCCCAAGGTCAGGGGCGATGACTGGGTCTCTGGGGCAGTGGCCAGACACGCCTCTGCACGGACAAGCCCTCAGACCTGGAGAAGGGTGGGGAATAGCTCTGACACAGTTGTGTCTAAGCGCCTCTCGCCCAGCCAGGGAGGTAAATCAAATCACATGCGAGGATGGCCTCCCACACTGTACTGTAGTCTGAAGGTTCTTTCTGCCTACTGTGCTCCTTCCTTTCTATTCTTCACAATATATCTCTTGTACATCTAATCCTATCTTGAAGTCTATTTCTCAGCGTACTTGACACAATTATATTTTGGGATAGGTCTTTATGCTTTTTATGTAAATGCACAGAAAACCACCATATATTCCTAGAAGATGCTCAGTAATACAAACATGAAAGGGATAAGAATGGCATTATGGATATGAGGGTGTCACCACCTACGCATTTGTCCTTTGTGAGAAAGTTTCTTTTTTTTTATCCCTACTATACATAACTCAATTGGCAGATTTCTATACTGGACTGGCAACCACTTCTCAGCTAAATACCATTAAACAGCTGAAAAACATTTCCACTGTTTTATCAACTGTTAAATATTGTCTAGACTCTAACAGTAAATTATTATAGTAAATTATTACTACAGTGAGTACAACTTTACCACAGTTGTATACTTGCCTTGTATTGATAATTTTTTTTGTTTTTGGTGGTGCCAGAGATTGAACCCACGGGAACTTAACCACTGAGCCACACCCCCAGCACGTTTTATTTTAAGACAGGGTCTTACTAAGTTGCTTAGGGCCTTGCCACATGCTGAGGCTGACTTTGAACTTGTGATCCTCCTGCCTCAGTTTCCCAAGCTGCTAGGATTACAGATGTGCACCACCTTGCCCATGAAACTATTCATTTTTGTGGGGAGCGGGGGACTACTGATCAAACCTGCAGCTTCATAAATGCTAAGCATGTAACAACTCCATCACTGAGCTACACCAGTAGGCCCAACACTGTTTTTACTATTTATTCTGTGGTGCTGAGATAACACTATTAATTTTTAAACCAGCATGTTACAGAATATCAAAAGCAACATGGTCCTTAATTTTTAAATTTTTAAAAAATCTTTATTTATTTATTTTTATGTGGTGCTAAGTATCACACCCATTACCTCACACATGTGAGGCAAGTGCTCCACCACTGAGCCACAGCCCAAGCCCATAATCCAGTCTTTTTTTTTTTTTTTAATTTTTTAATACTTATTTTTTAGTTTTCGGCAGACACAACATCTTTGTTTGTATGTGGTGCTGAGGATCGAACCCGGGCGGCACGCATGCCAGGCGAGTGCACCACCGCTTGAGCCACATCCCCAGCCCCAATCCAGTCTTGATATAGTTAAAATGAATCTAAGACTTCCTCTGAATTTACAAAGCTCCAGAAAAGGATTGATTGTTCTTCATAAAAAATAAACTAGGTCTTCTTTTTTTTTTTTTTAAGTTGTCTATAGACTTTTATTTTATTTATCAAATGCAGTGCTGAGAATTGAGCCTAGTGCCTCACACATGCCAGGCAAGTGTGCTACCGCTGAGCCCCAGCAACAGCCCCAAACTCTATCTTCCTAATGAATGTTTTCTTTTATACAAATACCAAAACTCTTTAACAAAAACAACTTCCTGAAAAACTCTCAGTGGAATTAAAATCTATCATAATCCTGAAATATATTCATCTTCCTCAATAAATTAAACACAACTACAAGTTAAACATTACTATATGCAGAGATTTAGATCCTCAAAGGCTTAATTACCTTTTTTGAAAAAAATTATTATGGTAATAATACATGACACAAGATGTATCCTTTTAGCAGATTTTTAAGTATACAATACAATATTGTTCATTATAGTACAGATATATCACTATGCAGTAGATCTCCAGAATTTAGTACTTACTCTAGTTTTATCAAACAGTTCTGAAACTTTGAGGAAAAACCTGGAAGGGAAAAATATTTTCATCAGAAGCTACATTTGAAATAATTTCCCACATCAGATATTTACAGAATATGTTCCCAAACCATTTCATTAATGAGCATTATTGTTTCCTTATATAAAACATTCAATGGTCTTATTAACTGGAGACTTCATTTAGTTCAGGAAAAACCTCCTATACTTCCACCAATATAACACATTACTTGAAATCTGTTATAGGAAATTTCCCCATTTCATTTCAAGACACAATCTAAGCCATATACCAAACTTAAAATTTATCTTGATATTCCTTCAAGTAATATATCACATAATACTAAATAGAGGCTGTACTTTCAACATTATTACAGAAATACAAAGCAATTACACTGAAAGAGACAAAAGGTTGACTGACAGTACTGAAGCTGGAGAACTTCTTAAAGTTACTGGAGAGTTATGTTTTACATTTTTGATACTGTAATTGAATCCAGGGGTACTTTACCACTGAGCTACCTCTCCAGTCCTTTTTATTTTGCAACAGACTCTCACTAAGTTGCTGAGGATCTCACTAAGAGGCTGAGGCTGGGTCTCAAACTTGGGATCCTCCTGCTTCAGTCTCCTCTGAGTTTCTGGGATTACAAGCATGTGCTACATGCTCAGTGATAGTTTTATTTTAAACATTTTCAAATATAGCTACTTTGTTTTGAAAAGTAATGAAAATGAACAACCAATTCCTAGCTCAGAATTAATTTTCCCTTTACTAAACAGTCTGTCAAATGCTGATATCAATTAAAAACTATCTCACCTGGCATGGTGGGCTCACCTATAATCCCAAGTGGTTGAGAGGCTGAGGCAGGAGGATATCAAATTCAAATGAGCCTCACTAATTTAGCAAGGCCTTGAGCAACTCAGTGAGACCCTGTCACTAATAAAATATAAAAAAGGGCTGGGGATATGGCTCAGTGGTTAATCGCCCTTGGGTTCAACCCCTGGTACCAAAAAACAAAACAAAACAAAACAAAAAACAGTATCACAGGGACTAGGTTTATAGCTCAATGGTAGACTGTATGTTCAGCATATTCAAGGCCACGTGAAACTATTAAAAAGCATTCTGTAAAATACATAATCATAAATGGCATGATAATTGGATTAGGGCAAACTACAGAAAGCAAAACCACAATTTAAGCCAGGTGCAGTGGTGCACACCTGTAATCCCATTGGCTTGGGAGGCTGAGACAAGAAGATCAAAGCAAGCCTCAGCAACCTTGAGAGCCTAAGCAACTCAGTGAGACCCTGTCTCTAAATAAAGTACAAAATAGTGCTGGGGATGTGGCTTAGTGGTGGAGTGCTCCTGAGTTCAATCTCTGACACCCCTCCCCTCCCCGCCAAAAAACCCCACTATTTAATAAACTTTGTTTTACTGAACACAACTTGCCTTAACAGATTGTTTGATAGCATTGCAAGGTTTATTTTTTTCTTCTTATCAAAGACTTAAGTATTAATTCTTCACATGTCTATAATTCCAGCAACTTGGGAGGCTGAGGCAGGAAGATCAATTCAAAGTCAACCTCAGCAACTTTGTCTCAAAATTTAAAAAAATAATAATAAAAGGGTTGGGAATATAGCTCAGTGACAGAATGCCTCTGGGTTCAATCCCTAGTACAAGAGAAAAAAAATTTTAACTCTTTGGCGAGATAGAATCTTCATTATTGTAAGTTATGATCTCTTGCTTTGTTCCAAATATTGGCCCTTAAATGTGTACTAAACACATTTAGAGAAGAGGAAAGTTCAAGAATATGTCTTGAAAAAAGAAATGAATTATGAAACATTGTTTTAAAATGTATTTGATCTAAGTGTTGTGGTGCATGCCTCTGGCTATTCCAGAGACTAAGGCAGAAGAATCACAAGTTTGAAGTCAGCCTCAGTAACTAAGCAAGATTCTGTCTCAAAATACAAGAAATAAAACAGCTAAGGTTTAGGGACTGGGGTTGTGGCTCAGCGGTAGAGCGCTTGCCTAGCACCTGCGAGACCCTGGGTTAGAGCCTCAGCACCACATTAAATAAATAAATAAATAAAAATAAAGGTATTGACAACTACAACCAAAAAATAAATATTCAAAACAAAACAAAAAAAAAACAGCTAAGGCTGGGCCAGTGGCGTACACCTGTAATCCCAGTGGCTCAAGAGGCTGAGGCAGGAGGATTGTGAGTTCAAAGCCAACCTCAGCAACAGCGAGGCACTAAGCAACTCAATGAAACCCTGTCTCTAAATAAAATACAAAATAGGGCTGCGGATGTAGCTCAATGTTTGAGTGCCCCTGAGTTCAATCCTTGGTCCCCGCCCCCACTCCCAAAAAAACAGCTGGGGATGGAGCTCGATGGTAAAACCCTTGCCTAGAATGCACAAGTCGCTAGGATCAATCCCCAATATCATAAATAAATAAATAAGCAAACAAATATATATTTGAATTATTTTTCAATAAACAAGTAATATTATAGGAGCAACTAAAATTAACTAGTTAAAACAACTAGCATAAAGTCAATAAAGAATCCCAAGTTTGAGGCCAGGCTCAGCAACTTAGCGAGGCCCTAAAGAACTTAGCAAGACCCTGTATCAAAATAAAAAAATAAAAAGGGTGTGGATGTAGCTCAGTTAAGTGTCCCTGGGTGCACTTCCTTCCCCAGTATGGAAGGAAAAAAAGTCCAAGCTCCAATGAAATACACACACACACACACACTCACCCCGACTCCTGTATATAAAATTTCAAAATAACATTTATTATTTATGATAAACAACACTAAAAAATTCTCTAATACACAAATATCCCACTTTCATCTAACAGAAGATTGTAAATACTAAAACTACATACTAAAGCTTATTTTATTTTTCAGATTTAAAAAATATTAGATAAGAAAAAATGAATCAACTCAAGTTTATAAAAACATTTCTTATTATCAATGCCTTGACAAAAATATTCCAAAATGCCTGCCTAGAGATTATAAGTATGCCAACAAATTTTTATTTTGCTTATATCTAATAATGTTTTTAATTAGAATCCTTACTTGCATATATCTGTAGAATCCTGAGTTCCTAAAGCATATAATGAAGAACCAATTCTATTGTAATCATCTGCAGCACCTATGGAAAAAGTTTCAAGAATATATTTGGTCATTAATTTAAAAATACTGACTGAACAGCTATCTGCAAGAGATACACCAAATCAAGTAAAGGAAATAACACAAACAACCATAACAATTCAATGGATATTATATTGGGTATATGTGAAAACTGCTTTAAGAACAGAGGAAACAGATGATTCCTACTTCAGTAAGTCAAGAAAGGATTTACAAAACTATAGAATGAGCTGGAGTTTGTATGATGAGCAAATCTTTACCAAACAAAAGGATAACATTTTGCATAAAGGGAATAAGAGAAATACATATCATAAAGAAGAATAGTATATTCAAAGAGCCTGGGGTGGGACTGCAGGATGCATAGGGGAGTGAATGGAATAAAAGATCATATAGGCCATGATAAGAGTTTAGATTTGATCTTGTGACAATGGATCTTATTGAACATATTTATGTCATAGTAGTGGTAAACTCCACCTGAGAAGGATTTTAGATATTAAAAAATTCTGTGGAGAAAAAAAAAGCAGGGTGACCAACCAGCAAACTGTTCCAATAATCTGATATCAAACCTCTGAAACTGTGAGCCAAAATAAACTTTTCCCCTCTAAATTGTTCTTGTCAGGTCTTTTCGTCACAGTGATGAAAAGCTAACTGAAACAGTAGCTGAAACTGGCCAGCTGGGATCCAGGCAGGTTTCCTGGCTTGGTTATTGGTAACAGAAACCCTCACAAAAGAATGACACAAGAACAGAAGTAGCCAAGCCAGAGACTTCTTTTCTCCTGTTACTATAAAATGGAGGTTAATGATTCTAAGTACTCACTCTATTGACTTGACCCTATTTCGGAGGTTATCCAAATTTTGATCTTAGGATTCCTTTACATTCTTAAAAATTACTGAGGAATCTGAAGAGCTTCTTTTTACATGTGTTATTATCTATCAATATATACTGTATATTTTTCAAAAATGTAAAACAAAAATTTTGAACATTTAGTAATTTATTTAAAATTAATAGCATTAGGGCTGGAAATGTGGCTCAGAAGTAGAGTGCTTCTTAGCACATGTAAGGCACTGAGTTCAATTCCCAGCACCACAAAACATAAATAAAAGGAAAAAATAAAATTAACATACCACTGAGCTACATTTAAACCCAGCCTGTTTAAACCCATATTTACATAATAAGTAAACTTTCAAATGAAAAAGAGCTATTTTTTAAAAAATTAGGGAGGAGCATGACAACATTACATTTTTATATATCTCTGTTGTACCTGGTTCAATAGACAACAGATTCTCATTATCTGCTTCTGCTTTCATTCAATCTGCTTTTCATTCGATCTGCTATGATAATACTGCTTTTAAGTATGTGGGGGGAAAAAATCCAGCCTACACGGATATATAACTAGAAAAGGAAGAGGTATTCTACTAACCTTTTCAAATAATCATGGATATTCTTTATTATTACACCAAACTCAATAATTACTTGTAATGTGGACTCTAAAATCATTATCAATGAAATTCTTTTTGTTGTTTTTTTGCAGTACAAGGAATTGAAATCAGAAGCACTTTACCAGTGAGCTACTCCCACTTCTTCTTCTTCTTTCCCCCCCCCCCCCCCCATTTTGAGGAGAGTCTTGCTAAGCTGGTGAAACTAGCCTCAAATCTGTGGTCCTCCTACCTGAGCATCTTGAGTAGCTGGGATTATAGGCATGTGCCACCATGGACAACTTAATACACTTCTTATACTTATAAATTAAAACCCATTAGTATGCCAGGTACACACTACACACTACAAACTTAGTAAAGTTGCAATCCACAGATTCAATGCAATTCCAATCAAAATACCTATGGCATTCTTCACAGAACTACAAAAAACAGTCCTAAAATTCATACGGAACCTCCCCGACACACACACACACACACACACACACACACACACACTGAATAAACAAAGATATTTTGAGGGAAAAAAGCAAGCAGGACATAATATGCTGACTTCAAAACAGAGTACCAAGCTTAGTAATTAAACTGATAATATTAGCAATAAATACAGACACACAGACCAATGCAAGAGAATAGAGCCTAGACACAAACTCATGGATTTACAGTCAGTCATCTGACTTTTGACATAGGTGCTAAGAAACACATTGAAGAAAGAGCCATCTTTTAAATAAATGGTGCTGGAAAAATTGGATATTTATATCCAGTAGAATAAAACTAGACCCCTACCTCTCATCAGTCAAAAAATGAATCCAAAATAGTTTAAAGACTTATATAAACCTGAAACTATGAAACCACCAGAAGAAAATACAAGGGAAATACTTTAGGACATCAGAATAGGTAAAGATTTAGCAAGGCGCAGTGGTGCACACCTGTAATCCCAGAAGCTTGGGAGGCTGAGGCAGGAGGATCACAAGTTCAAGGCTAGCTTCAGCAATGTAGAGAGGCCCTAAGCAGCTTAGTGAGACCCTGTCTCAAAATAAAAAACTAAAAAGGGGTGGGGATGTGGCTCAGTGGGTGCCCCTGGGTTCAATCCCTGGTATCAAAACAAACAAACAAACAAACAAAAAACCCCAAAAAAACTAGGCAAAGATTTTTTTGAGAAAAACCCCCAACATACAGGAAATAGAGAAAAACAAACTTGTGGGACTGTATCAAAAAAAAAAGCTGCAAGGCAAAGGAAATAATAAAGAGACAATCTGAAGAATGACAGAAAATATTTATAATATGTATATTTGATATTGATATCTAGAATACATAAGGAACTCAAAAATTCAATAGCCAAAAAAAAAAAGGATTAACCTAATTAAAAAATGTGTAACATGGGCTGGGGTTGTAGCTCAGTGGTAGAGCACTCACCACACAAAAATAAATAAATAAACTAAAAATAAATAAATAAATAAACTAAAAATAAATAAATATTTTTTAAAATGTGCAACAAACCTAGACATTTGTTAAAAGACAACATATAATGGCCAAGAGGTAATTAAGAAATGTTCAATAGTGCCAAGCATTATGGCACACATCTGTAATCCCAGTTACTTGGGAGGCTAAGGCAGGAAGATAACAAGTTCATGATCAGCCTGGGCAACTTAGCAAGACCTTGTCTCAAAAAAGGGCTGGGGCTGAAGATGTGGTTCAGTGGTAGAAAACTTGCCTACTATGCCTGAGAACCTGGATTCAACCCCAGTATTGCAAGGAAAAAAAAAATTCAACGTAACTAATCACCAGGAAAATGTAAATCAAAGGTAAAAGCTAGCGACCTATGAAGAAAAGAAAACACTTGCACACTGTGGTGGGATTATTAAGTTAGTAAAAGTCATTACAGAAAACAATATGAAGAATCCTTGAAAATTAGAACTACCATATGATCCAACAATTCTATTACTGGGGATAAATCCCAAAGAAGTGAAATCAGAATTCTGAAGAGACATCTGTATTCCCATGTTCATTGCAGCACTATTCACAATAGCCAAAAATTGTAAACAAGGGGTTGTAGCTCAGCAGTAGAACGCTCGCCTAGCATGTGCGAGGCCTTGGGTTCAATCCTCAGCACCACATAAAAATAAATAAATTAAATAAAGGTATTGTGTCCAACTACACCTAAAAAATAAATATTAAAAAAACTGTAAACAAGATAACCATCAATCAACTGATGAATGAATGAAGAAAACATGGTAAATAAAAATAGAATACTGTTCAGACATAAAACCCTGACATCTGCAATAATGTGGATGGAACTGGAGATCATCATATATGAAAGGAGAAGTTTCGTTGTCGGAGATTAAAATGCACACAGATAGCAGTGACAAGATGAAGCACTTTACTGCAAGCTGGTGCTAGTTTATATAGAAAGTGAGAGTCAGTTATCTTAAACCAGGAAGCTCCGGGGGCCAATCATAGTAAAGGTCAGATCATCACCTACGGTGCACGCACGTCCACCCTGCATAAGATTCATGGGGGGCACGAGCTGTCCACGATCACAGAAGATGGGAGGACCAATTAGAAAATTTTCAAAACAACTTGTTATCCGCCCACTGGCAACTTGCCTGCCGCCATGTTGCATTAGGGGCTCCTTATCTGAAAGGCCCAGGGAGTTCTAGCCGCCCACTGGCAATTTGCCCACCGCCATGTTTGAAAGGCCCGGGGAGTTCTCAAGGAGACTCCCAACAATATATACTGAAATAAGCCAGGCACAGAAAGACAAGTACATGATCTCACTCATATGTAGACACTACTCATAGAAGTTGAGAGTAGAACAGTGATTACCAGAGGCTAAGGAGAGTAAGGGGGAGGGAATAATGATAGAAGGTTGATCAATGGGTATTAAGTTGTAGTTAGGAGCAAGGCGGTCCTTTTCTCCCCATATTTTTTATTAGGAGAAAGAAGTTCTGGTGTGCTACTACACAGTAGGGTGGCAAAAGGTAAGAATAAGGTACATTTCAAAAAGCTAAAGAAAAGATTTTAAAGTCTTCACCATAAAGATAATAAATGTTCAGAGACAGATGTTTAATGTGGTTTAAATATTATACAATGTGCCTATATTAAAATGTCATTTAATACTGCATTAATATACATAATTTTTATGTTTTTATGTATTAGTTAAAAAATAATGCTAATAAAAAAAGACTGACAAGGATGTGGAGCAACTGAACTCTCACATCACTGCTCTTGGAAATGCAAAATGGGATAATCATTATGAAAAAAGTGCCAGTTTCCTAAAAAGTTAAATTTACATCCATGCAAAGAGACATGCAGGTGGATAATGTAATAGACACAAGTTAGAAATGACTCAAATGTTCACCAATAGGCAAATGAACAAATGATTATGTTGGCATCCATACAATAGAATACTATTCGGTATAAAAAAAAAAACAAAACAAAACTCAACAATAAAAAGTATACACTAGGGCTGGGGATGTGGCTCAAGCAGTAGCGCGCTCGCCTGGCATGCGTGCAGCCCGGGTTCGATCCTCAGCACCACATACAAAGATGTTGTGTCCGCGGAGAACTAAAATAAAAATATTTAAAAAAAAAAACTCTCTCTCTCTCTTTAAAAAAAAAAAAAAAAGTATACACTAAAGGCCACTTTCAGGGGTTATGGATACATGTTCACAATTTTTACTATGATTAAACTGTACACTTTGACACCAAATCTTATAAATACTAATTATAAAAAAAAATACTAAATATACTCAAATAAGCTGTTCATAAACTTCATTGATCTATCTTGTACTTTGAATGAATCTTTTATATACACAATTTGTGGCATTATGCACTGGTTGTTTGGGAAATCTGTTAGTTGTTCTTACAAGTAAATATGGTATTCCATGGAAAAAGCACTTAGTTCAGTCACAACTCAACAGTATTTAAAATGCCCTTCCAGAGAGAATCATAACATTTTAGTATGCAAAGTGCTTTATAGATATTTCCCATTTTATCACTCAATATTTAAAAAATGTGAACTCTGGGGTGGAGATTTGTTATAATTTTTGCTGCTACATCAAAGTTACATTTTTAGAAAATTGTAAGTCATGGCAGGAAAAACTACAGTGACTATTATTAGTAAAGTCTGATGCTACTGCCTTGATTTGTATATACTAAGGCACAAAGAGTTTTATCCATTTTTTCCTTTGCATCATCAATGTAAATGTCAGAATGGTGAAAAAGGCAAAAAAGTATCTACAGTATTTTTATGAAAATAATTTTGGACCTTGCAGACTCACTTGGGGTCTAAGCTTCAATAGACCACAGTTTGAGAACCACTGTTTCATATCAAGACTTTTACAAACTCTAAGTAACAAGTCAGCCTTATTATTACTATTCCATTAAAAATTTCAAGCTAAAGCCACAAAAAAAAAAAAAAAAGTCTTACTTTTGTGGGATCTTGTCATCCTATCAGACTTAGCAGACGCATCCTTAACTCGGTTATGATATTCTAAAAGGAAAGTTCGTTCATGCTCAAAGAAATCATCTACATCCTATAGAATCAAAAGAAAATATGAGCTTTTTTCACTTATTTTGCTTTAGTATGATATAGAAATAACTTTGTCAACATTATAAACATACAAAGATTATCAGGAAAACAGCACAGCTATATCCTCTAAAAACCAAGAGTTTAAAATCGATTTTATGAACATATTAAGACTTTAATAGACATGCATTTCTTTCTTTGTTTTGGGATTTTTTTTTTTTTTGAGAGGGAGGGACTTGCTTGCTATGTTGTCCAGAATGGCCTCAAATTTGTCATCATCCTGTTTTGGTCTCCTAAGTAGCTGGGATTACTAGCATGTACCACCACACCTACCTTAAGTATCTGGCTTACCTTTCTATCAAGTAAGACATCTAGGGTTGGGGCTATGGCTCAGAGGTAGAGCACTCGCCTACCATGTGTGAGGCGCTGGGTTCGATCCCCAGCACCACATACAAATAAAATAAAGATATTGTGTCCACCTATAACTAAAAAATAAATATTAAAAAAAAAGATATCTATAGTTTTGTAGCTGAAGGCTCAGAGATCCTCTTATGGTTCACTTTCCCATGTTTTACTCTGAAACGTGTTCCTACTTGTGCTCTACTTCAACAGACACCTTAATGCCAGTGGGAGTGATCAACTGTTTTTCAGAAAAAGAAAAATTCTGTCACTAGAAGTAAACATTGATTTTCTTGGTCTAACAGACAATCTATGAGCTATTCTGTGGCTTCCACACCTTACTCATTAGGGCTGACTGCTCTGGGGAAACTGGCCAAATTACCTATCTGGGAGCAATGATATGATTAACCACTGTAGTCAATCTTTAAAAAAAAATAAAGCCATGTATACATGAGAAGTGAAAAATCATATATTCACAGTACTTTTACCCCTTCTAAACTAGCAATGTTTCATTGGAAAAATATCAGTTAATAATGTGAGACTTACATCAATAGAACACAAGCAGCAAGAGTTAGTATTGACAAAAATGTTTAAAAATCTTTAATTCATATATGCTAGTTTTAACTATCAACATGGTAAAAAAAAAAAGGCAAAAAGTATCATAATAATTTTATGAAAATGGTTTTGACCTTGAAGACTTGCTTTAAAAGGGTCTTGGGGGCTGGGGTTGTGGCTCAGGGGTAGAGCACTCGCCTAGGATGCATGAGGCACTGGGTTCTATCCTCAGTACCACATAAAGTAAAATAAAGACATTGTGTCCACTTATAAAAAAAATAAATAAAAATAAAAGGATCTTGAGGTCTAGGTTTCAGTACACCACATTTTGAGAACTAGTGTTTTATATCAAGACTTTTATAAACTGTAAGTAAATAATTAATTTAATAAATAATTAGCTTTCTAAGTATTATTACACATATTATCTTATTCAGTCTTTTCAATAATTCTGTGAGCTAGGTCATATTATTAACCCCATTTTGGAAATGGAAAAAATAAAATTCAGAGAAAGAAACTTTCCCCAAGAACATATAGCAGCAGAAGGCAACACTAAAACTTCAAATGAGATCTTCTAACTTCAAATCTGATTCTAGGTCTATCTCTTAATATTTGCAAGGCTAAGCTAAGGGCAAGTGTAAAAACATTTGCAGCCCCTCTTCTTATTCCACCCTACAGCTCTAACCTATACCTAGAGGGTCCTTGGGCATATACAGGTGAACATTTCAACCTGCACACTGATCTTTTCCCTTGCCCCTCCCCTTTACTTAGCTGCCTTACAATCACCCCTTCACCATCCATGAAATGCACAGCAGCAGCACAGCTGGGGAGAAGACATCTATGCAGAACCTGGAAGGTGGCTTTGGATTTGGGCAAGGAAACACGGGAGTTGAGATATCTGCAACATGGTCTTTTTGTAAAGAAGTAACTCCAGATGGATAAATCTCCTGGACTGCAGACTTCTCACTCCTTGGAGAAAAGAACTCACTAAAGAGAGCCAGGGTAGGGACACAATTTCCCAGGCCTAAGGATTCTATTGTCCAAATTCTTACTCTAATTCTGAACATACAAAATCTCAATCTATTTCCCTTTCAAAAGAAGTAAATTCGGTCTGGGGATACAGCGCAGCTGGTAGAATGCTTGCCTTGCATGCACAAGGCCCTGGGTTCAATCCCCAGCACCACAAAAATAAATAATTAAATAATGAAAGAAGCAAATTTTCAACCAATAACACTGTTAATCAAGTCTTACCTTTACTCCTGAAACAATTACTCCATCTGCTGATTTAACCATGTTTTTAAAGAAATCTTCAAGTTTCTCTTTTTTATTTTTTCCTCGCACACTCAACTGAAGAAAGGTAATTACAATTAGCATTTTTTTAAGGTTACAAATGCAAAGTAGTATGTCTTTTATCTTAGACATTTAACTTATAATCTCAAAAGAATCCCAGTTTTTAAACTTAAAATGGAAATTTCATCATGTGTATTAACAGTTTTCAAACTTTAGGGCATAAAAGAGGATTTTAAGCTAGGCATGATGGTACACACCTATAATCCCTATAGGCTTCTGCTGTGTCTATAATACTTACGGGAGTGAGGTGGGAAGACAGCAAACTCAAGGCCAGACTGAGCGACTCAACAAGATCATGTCTCAAAATAAAAAAGGGCTCAGTGGTAGAGTGTTCCTGGGTTCAATCCCTAGTACTAAAAAGTTTGGTAATAACTCCAGCCTTACTCTAAAAGATTCAGGTGGACTACAATAAGGTCTAGATAAGTCCAATTTTACAAGCATATTTGATAATTCTGTTATAAGTAGCCCTTTCACCTTACTTTGTCAAGTACTATATATAATACAATAACAATAAAAATTTAACTCAGGGGCTGGGGTTGTGGCTCAGTGGTGAGCGCTTGCCTAGCATGTGTGAGGCACTGGTTCGATTCTCAGCACTACATGCCAATAAATAAATAAAATTAAAAATCCATCAATAACGAATAAAAATGTTTAAAAAAATTTAACTCAGGAGTCCTTTTAAACATGAAATTTACTGAGGTAAAATATATCATCATATGATTCTGTAATACCTCTGAAAATATATTCTGCAAATTTCTCACTCTGAACTCATCCAAATATCAACTCTTTATCCTGTGTTGGGGGTCAGCAACTCATAGTATAAGAAACACAAAAGATGACTTTGAATGGATGAATGGTCATCCAAGAGTAAAAGTGAGAAGCAGCTAACTCTTTTTGACTCCTAGTGCTTGCTGCATCAAGGTGCCCTATAAAGCAACACACCATCTAATTTCCTTACACATTGCCATGACTTCAATGCCCACAAGACTTAGACATCTTGAGTAATAACTACCATAACTGATCCGGAGTAACCCTAGTTGGCTGAGGGCTATATGGAACCTTATGACTAGACTCTGGCTCTAAGGAATGTGCCTGACTCTTTAATATTAGAGCTTAAGATTAAAGAGGTATATTCTAGCTAAGATGAAGTCACTTTTGTCCTAACTTATATATACACATATCCTTCTAACCCAAATTGTGTGGATCCAACTGGTCATGTTGCTACCTTGAACCACACTTTTAGCAAGACCTCTAAAATTGCATTCTGCAATCCTAGATCTGTCTGCCTCTTTCTCCCATGACACACTGGGGCCAGTTATCATACACTAAGACTGAATTGTTCTTCAAGCTGACAGAGAACATCTATAAAAAGTCCACAACTGGGCTGGGGTTGTAGCTCAGTGGTTGAGCACTTGCTTCACATGCGTGAGGCACTAGGCTCGATCCTCAGCACCATATAAAAAATAAACAAATAAAACAAAGATATTGTGTCCATCTACAACTAAAAAAAAAAAAAAGAGTCCACAACTAACATCATCTTTAAGGGTGCAAGGGTGAATGCTTTCCCCTTAACATCAGGAAAAAGGAAAGGATGTCTTGCTTTCGCCACTTCATTTAACAATGTCCTAGAAATTCTAGCCAGGCAAGTTAGGCAGGAAAAAGATATAAAAGATAACTAGAAAATAAGAAGCAAAAATAAAATATAAAAGTTAATAAATGAGTGTGGCTGCCAAGGTGGTTGATCATTATGGGGAACATACGAAGTTTAGGAATTTGATTTCTGATTGTTTTCCACTTTCCTGAAACCAAGGTTATCATCTGATCAAGAGAAACTGATGTGAGTTGAAATTCGCTATTACAGAAAATGAAAAGATGGAAGTTTGTTATAAATGATAGGGAAAGTACTCTAGATGAGAGAAAGGTACACAGGAGAACTGCTAACAAGAGTCAAAATGAAGTCAATGGTCTTGATGTATGAATGAGTAATGGAAATAGGAAGAAGAGAACAGACAAAAGTCTGTTCAGAGTCTGTAATACTAAGGCAATGAAAAGATCCTATGTGTGCCTACTGATTGAGGTAGTTTATTTAATGGAAGTTAGGGGATTAAATATATTATGCTCTGTTGGCTGGGGACTTAGCTCAGTGACAGAGCACTTACCTACCATGCATAAAGTCCTAGGTTCCCAGCACTACCCAAAAATAAATAAATAAATAAATATCCAGCCCAGCTTGGTGGCCCATACATGTAACCCAGCAGCTCAAGAGGCTGAGGCAGAGGATCACAGATTCAAATCCAGCCTCAGCAATTTAGCTAGGCCCTAAGCAACTTAGGGAGACCCTGTCTCAAAATAAAAAATAAAAAGGAATGGGGATGTTGCTCAGTGGTTAAGTGTCCCTGGGGTCAATCCCTGATACAATTAAAAAAAAAAAAAAAAAATCTGTTGTTAAACAGACTCAAGACTATTCCCCACTGGATAAGTAAAGCAAATTAAAGGCTATTATTTCTCATAACAGTGGCCCTTTCTCAATTAAATACAAGAACAAGGCTTTCTAGGTCTCCCCCTAAGTCCCATGGCCCTGTGATACTTCAACTGTTCATCTGTCCACTCTGTAAACAATTAAAGAACATTTTCCAGTGCTTTTTTTCTGGGGTGAGGTCAAGTGGTAGGATTGAACCTACAGGCACTTTGCTACTAAGCTACATTCCCAGCCATTTTTATTTTTTATTTTAAGACAGGGTCTTGCTAAGTTGCTTTGAGCCTCACTAAATTGCTGAGGCTGGCCTGAAACTTGCAATCCTCCTGTTTCAGCCTCCAGAGTTGCTGGGATTACAGGCATGCACCATCGCACTAAGCTCCAGTCCATCTTTTTAGGCTTTCTCCAAAACACCACTTGCTGATATTAAAAGAGTTTTTATGGGGCTGGGGTTCTGGCTCAGTGGTAGAGCACTCACCTAGCATGTGTGAGGCACTAGATTCAATCCTCAGCACATTAAAAAAAAAAAAAAGTATGAATAAAATAAAGGTACCATGTCCAACTACAACTAAAAAAAAATTTTAAAAAAGGGGTTATTAGAATATATCATCCTCCTTACTAAGTGTGTATGTGCCAATATACACACACACATACACATACGTATACATATATATATATACATATGTGTGTATATATATGCACACGTGCATGCGCACACGTGCACACACACACACAAATACATTTTTTAAGCAAGGTCTCACTAAATTGCCAGGCTGACCTTAAACTCAAAATCCTCAGCCTCAACCTCTTGGGTAGTTGGGATTATTGGCATGCATCACTATGCCTGGCATGTTTGTTTAAATGCTTGTTTATAAGGAAAAAATAATAAATAAATTTGCTTTGGTGTAAGAAAATGTATGAACCCCGAAGCTTTCTGAAAGCACCCAGAGATGCTTCACCATCAAGCTACATCCCTAGACTTTATTTATTTATTTATTGAGACAGGGTTTCACTAAATTGCTGAGTGTAGCCTTGAACTTAATGTATAATTTATATTTACTAAAACCAAACCAGAAAAATAAGCTTATATTCGCAAAATTCTTTAATCCTGATGTTAACTTGTAATCAAATTAAGCACTATCCTACATGTTTTCCATAAAAGCTATGAATTAGTCTTGTCATCTAAATATAAGTTCTATGACAAGTATCAACTATCTACTAAAATAAAATTTTGCCAGCACTATGAATAAAGAAATCTTTAGCTTGCTCTGCTTCCCAGCTGCCATAAAGTAAGTAACTTTCCCTTGCATGCCCTTCCACAATAATGCTGTGCCTCCATTCATTCCCAACGCAATGATACCAACCAACCACAGACTGAAACCATGAGCCAAATAAATTTTCCTCCTCTTAGAAAAAAAAACCTTTAATGCTCAGTCACCTAATTTTCTTTTTGCCATTAGTAATTTTTAGGCAGGGAAGCAAGAAGGGAGTGAGAAACATTAGAAGCCATCAGCACTAAAGAATGTCAGTTAAATAGATCAGGAGTCAGTGATTTACCCAAAGCAATCTAGCACTTTTTTTTTTTTTTTTTTTTTTGGTAGTGGGGATTGAACCCACTTTATCACTGAGTTACATAACCAGCCCTTTTCTATTTTTTTATTTTGAGACAGGGTTTTGCTAAATTGCTTAGGGACTCACTAAGTTGCTGAGGCTGGTCTTGAACTTATGATCCTTCTGCATCACCCTCTCAAGTCACTGGAATTACAGGTATGCACCACCATGTCCAGCCATAATCTAGAATTTTTTAGCTCAAGAACCTCCCTGGAATTCTCCACAAAGCTTCAGAAGGCCCAAATTCAAATTTAAAAACATTAATCAATTTGATAACCCTATTCTATCTTCCGTGTGTGTGTGAGATAATGAGGATTGAACTCAGGGCCTCCGGCATGTTAAGCAAGTGCTCTACTACTAAGCTACATCTCCAGCCCACTTTATTTCTTAAGTTCACTATTCAGGATGAAATATCAGTATCAACTTGATAAAAGTACAGGGTGACTTTTATCAAAATACTTGGAAACACAGCGTTTCAGATTTTGGAGTTTTTTGAATTTGGGAATATTTGCACAGATTTTACCAACTGAGCAGACTTAATCCAGAAATATAAAATGCTCCAAAACTGAGCATCAAGTTGGTTCTCAGAAAGTTTTGGATTTTATAGTTTTGGATTATAGGTGCTCAGAATAGAACATGATTTACCACCATTTCTTTAATTAATCCACTCAATTAATGAAATATTTCAGTATTACTGAAAATGTGCCCCTTTAAACTTTTTTAAAAAAATAAAAACATTCTTAAAAAGGCTTTATACTAACTACTTCCCACCTTTTCTAATGACTCTTTAAAAAACCTGAACTACTGCATTCATCAACTTGATACTCACATCTTGATTATATTCCAAGAAGACATGGAAATTTAGATCTTTTCTCAAAATAGGATGTGCTGCCACACGACATAGGAACACTTCATGCATTGCAACTGTCTTCTTGAATATTGCCAAATATTCACTAGAACAACACACAAAATTAAAGGCAAAAAACTATCAACTAGAAAGTCATCTGCAATAAATTTTTTCAGGAAATACTTTGGATTATTCTAAAAGCAAAATCATGAATACAAAATACAATTCATGTAAACAAAGGTTTTAATTGAACTGTTAATTAAATATATAAAACACAGCCCTAAAAAAGACTTCATGCTGGTTAATAGTATTTATTATATCTAAATGTTAATATTTTTAAATTTTACAAACTTTTCTCACTATGCAAGTTGATGTTAAAGGTCTATGGGGGTGTTTATTTTTACCTCCAGAGAAATTATGATATAACCTTAGGTTTCAATTTTTACTACTGATTTTAATTTTAAATACCTTAGTACAAAACATACCAAAATCCAAACCTCAGCATATTTTCAATGTTAATCATTATTTTCATCTAATGACCCAAACACACAAGAAACACACCATAGACTGGTTTTTGCCATTACACTGAAGAAATCTGTTTAAGAGATTTTAATATCACCATCAATGAATCCTAGTGAACATATAGTAATACACGTCAGTTTGAGGGAAGGAAAACACTCAAAAAGCCCAATATTCTTGCTTCAACTACGTGCAAGAAGGATAAGTTTTACATACCAGCAAACCAGCAGGATCAATGTTGGGAGAAGTTTGATCTCTGTGAGGGTAGTCATTCAGTGAAGACAAAAAAGAAGGATGCAGAGGATGGAGGTAGCAGTAGAATAAACCCAAGGTTCTGTTATCCAACCCCTAACCAGACCACAAAAGAATCATGATCAGGGCCACTGGAAAATCACAGATTCTCCAATATTATTATGCTTTCCTAATTTTCAGTTTTCAATCTTATAAACTTTAAAAATGTTTGCTATCAGATTATTGCTTGCACCCATACTGACAGAATAATTAAAATATCTGTCACTTTATACTTTGACAAAGAAGATCTATTTGGATAATTTTTCTTTTCAAAAGAGTTTATGTAGCTATTCTGAAGAGGAGTCTAGTAGCTCTATAAATATATGCTTGAAAACTGAAACTCAGTGGAAGAGAAGAAAAAGAAATGCAAGAAGAGAAATGACCATAAAAAAAAGATATGGAAGTGACAATAAAGCAAGGACAATTATTTCCTTGTACAACTCTCAAAATAGAAATAATTTAGAAACTCCAAAGCATAAATGTTCAATAAAAGGGGAAAAACTGTATTTTTAGCAAATAAGCTAAAAATGAAATTTAAACTATCACAATTTTCCAAGGACTTAACACATTAATAGTGTATATAGAACCAATAGTTAATGAAAAACAATTCTAAACTATTCTCTGGTTCCTTTGCTTCTATTCTTTTCCTTTTGGTCAGAAGTCAAAGGCAGAGAAAAGGAGAAGAAAACTATTACATGTCAAAAAAAAAAAAAGAAGAAGAAGAAGAAAGTGCTCAACACTTTCTATGAGAAACAGAAGTTTTAGTATTATACACAAGTTGAAAAAAAGAGAACCAGATTGGAAATGACTATGGCCTTGTGAAAAAAGATATACATTCTGCTTTAAAACATCATGTTCCCTTTCTACTATTGTTTACAAGCTTTTGGATCCTCTGTTTATAATTTCCAGAGTTTATTTAAAACAGTAATTTTACAAGGGAGACAATGATTCTATAATTTTCCCGTAGGCTCTGATCATGATCATTGACACTAGTTGTGTGACTTAAACTTGCATCTTTCAGAGTCACAATGGTAAATGATTAAAAGAATGGACTATCAGCACAAAAAAAGGCATTAACAAACACAACTAACAAAACAACAACAGAAAATATCACATACGCTTCCAGTTCCTGTTTCATCTTTGTGAATTCTTCCTTTGTCATTGACCCTTCTCCTTCTCCAAGCTTCTGTAGTTTTTCCCTTGAAGCATCAAAATCAGGTCTTGGTGGTGCTGGTGGAATCTATAATAAAAGTAAATCACTTACTTTAAGGGACTATCATTTCTTTCCACACTGTACCACTACCACCATAAGACAGTGTCTGGGAAACTTAAAGGTATCCTGAATGAACTGAACACTGTAAACTATCACATTCAGATTGGAGAACTTCATTAGTTTTCAGGGATTTTGTTTGTTTTTGTAGTACTGGAATTGAGCCCAGAGTCTCACACTTGCTAGGCAAAGCACTAAGCTACATCCCCAATCTTTCTTATTTTTATTGGGACAGGTTGTTGCTGGCCTCTAATTTGTAATCTCTCTGCCTCAGCTCCCGAGTAGCTAGGATTACAGGTCTGTACCACCATGCTGTGCTTCCAGAGCTTCACTAATTTTAGAAATTAAGATCCTTGAAGTCCTTTACACCAAAAACGAAATATAGCATAACACTACTTTCTGGTTTTACAATTGTTCTCAAACTTCCATCTGCAGACTCCTACACAGCAACCCAGAATCCTCAAATTCCTATGTGCTCTAAGCTCTGACTACAGACTGAATAAATGTATACAGTAAATATATATGCCATTTTTGTAAAGGCATGATTAAATACAAATATGATTTTTATTTTTTGTTGGTTTTTTCCCACTTTTAAAAAATTGGTCCATTGAAATGAATACAAACAACAATAAGTGTTGGCAAGGATGTGGGGAAAAAGTTACAATCATACACTGCTGGTGGGACTGCAAATTGGTGCAGCCAATATGGAAAGAAGTATGGAGATTTCTTGGAAAATTGGGAATGGAACCACTATTTGACCCAGCTATCCCTGTCCTCAGTCTATACCCAAAGGACTTAAAAACAGCATACTACAGGGACACAGGCACATCAATGTTTATAGCAGCACAATTCACAATAGCTAAACTGTGGAACCAACCTAGATGCCCTTCAACAGATGAATGGATAAAGAAAAAATGTGACATATATACACAATGGAATATTACTCAGCAATAAAAGAAAATAAAATCATGGCATATGTAGGTAAATAGATGGAGTTAGAGAAGACAGTGCTAAGTGAAGTTAGCCAATCCCAAAAAAACAATGCTGAATGTTTTCTCTGATACAAGGAGGCTGAGTCATAGTGGGGTAGGGAGGCAGAGCATGGGAGGAATAGACAAACTCTAGATAGGACAAAGGAGTGGGAGGGGAAGGGAGTGGGCATGGGGTTAGAAATGATGGTGGAATGTGATGGACATTATTATCCAAAGTACATGTATGAAGACATAAATTGGTGTGAGTATACTTTGTATACAACCAGAGATGAAAAATTGTGCTTTATATGTGTAATATGAATTGCAATGCATTCTGCTGTCACATATAAATAAAAAAAATTTAATTTAAAAAAACTGGTCCATTATAATTGTACTTATTGATGGGATTGGTTATTACATATTCATACATGCACACAATTTACAATATAACAATATAACTTGGCCAATATCAATTCCCAGCATTTCAATTAAGTTTTGTAGATGGACACAATACCTTTATTTATTTATCTTTATGTGGTGCTGAGGATAGAACCCAGTGCCTCACACACGGCTAAGTGAGCACTCTACCACTGAGCCACAACCCCAGCCCCTCAATTAAGTTTCTTTTTTTTTTTAAGAGAGAGAGAATTTTTTTTTAATATTTATTTTCTAGTTTTTGGTGGACACAACATCTTTGTTTGTATGTAGTGCTGAGGATTGAACCCAGGCCGCACGCATGTCAGGCGAGCGCGCCACCGCTTGAGCCACATCCCCAGCCTCTTTTTTTTTTAATATTTATTTTTTAGTTGTAGTTGGACAATACCTTTATTTTACTTATTTATATATATATATATATTTATTTATTTTATATATATATATATATTTTTTTTTTTTTTTTTTAATTGTCTATGGACCTTTATTTTATTTATTGATACACGGTGCTGAGAATTTAACCCAGTGCCTCACACATACGGGACAAGCGCTCTGCCACTGAGCCACAATCCCAGCCCTATTTATTTATTTTTTATGTGGTGCTGAGGATCGAACCCAGGGCCTCACACATGCTAGGGGAGCACTCTACTGCTGAGCCAAAACCCCAGCCCTCAATTAAGTTTTTTAATTAATGGGTTCGTAGTAGTTTTATACTACATGTATTTTCTAAATTAACAAATACTAAAAATATTATCCAGCAGGAAATGTTTAAAAGGATTCTGGATTAGAGGAATTTACCAGAAGCAAAAAGATTCTTTTAAAAAGCTAACAAACTAAAAATAACAAAAAAAAAAGAAAAAAATTAATAAGATAAATTAATGACTAAACTCATTCTATTTATCCATAGGTGAAGCAGATGAATAAGGTAAAACATGTAATGTAAAAACCTTTAAAAACATGTAAGGTCTAGAAGAGATATACCACTCAAGGTAAAGATATAAAAAAAAATTATCTTAAGAGGAATGGCCGACAAATAACAATTAAGGGCACAATGATGAAAAGCTAAAGAAAGGAAGTGGAAGAAAAGTTAAATTGAGAACTGCTATAAAGGCTGGGGATATAGCTCAGTGGTAGAACATTTGACTAGCATGCATGAGGCCCTGGGTTTGCTCCCCAGCACTGCTAAAAAAACAAAACAAAGACCTACATGAAAAAGATTACACCTTGGCTGGGCATGGTGGCACACGCCTGTAATCACAGCTGCTTGGGAGGTGGAGGCAGGATGACCACAAGTTCAAAGCCAACCTCAGCAATTTAGTGAGGCGCTAAGCAACTCAGTGAAACCCTGTCTCTAATAAAATACAAAATAGGGCTACGGATGTGGCTCAGTGGTTGAGTGCCCCGAGTTCAATCTCTGGTAACCCAAAAAATAAAAGATTACACCTAGGGTCAGAAAGTTATCAAGTACAGTTCAACACACATTCTCCAAGCATCTAGTATATACATACTAGGCATAATGCTGTGCAACAGGTATATAAAGATAAATAAATAAGTCTTAGTCTTTGAAGAGCCTATGGAAGAAAAAAAGAAAAACGTACCATCACACAAGAAGGTAGGGGGAAAAGGTAGAACTAGAATGAGAAAAGAAAAATGTATACTGGTCATTCACCAAAATCTAAGGTATTAAAAGGAACAAATGACTGAAAATGAGTGGTGGTTCCAAGAACAGAGATGGAATCGGGTCACAATGATTTTAGAAAAAAATCTAATCAAATTAAATTTCACAAATCTAAGTGTGGTCAAAAGCTGAGGCATAATAACCATTGATTATTGATGATAACACCTTAAGGAGGCTTCCAAAAGTAAATACCTATCCACTTAAGGGTTCAAAGCCAGTATGATTTATAAAATCCCTTAATTAATTTCTAGGACAAACTCATTTCATTTCTAACAGAAAGAATCTAAGTTTAAATGAGGAAGCATAACATATTCCCACAGATCCAAACAGGACAACTCAAGATAAAAGATGGTAACCCAGTTTTGTAACAAAACTGGGAAATTTTTAAAAATCACATCAGTGCTAGGCACAGGGGCACATGAATGTAATGCCAGCAACTCAGGAAGCTAAGGCAGGAGGATGCCAAGTTCAGAGTCAATTTGGACAACTTAGTGAGAACCTGTCTCAAAATAAAAGAAAAATAAAAAGGGCTGGAAATAGAGCTCAGTGCCCCAGGGTTCATCACCAGTATCCCTGTCCCCCAAATAAATAAAATAAAATAATAAAAAATCTTATCATTTACTAAAAATGCTAAAAGACTGCAATAGAGAAGAGTATACAAAATGCTCTTAAAAATGGGATTTAAATAAAACCTCAATACTTACAATATATCCTGCATAGTCTTCATTTTCAACGAAGGAATCATGAAGCCAGATAAATTCTTCATGTTGTCGAACAACAGAAAACTCGTTCTGTTTAAAATTTGGCAATGAACTCTGCAAAGACAGATTCTTTTTGAATAAAAGTCAAAATTACACTAACAACTTTTGATAAACAATACATCTCAATTCTTTAAAAATCAGTCTTAGCTGGGCACAGTGGAGCACACCTATAATCCTAGCAACTTGGGAGGCTGGGATAACAAGTTCAAAGCGAGCCACAGAAACTTGGTGAAGCCCTAAGCAATTTAGCAAGATCCGGTCTCAAAAGAATAAAATAATACAGTCGGGCCTAGTGCACACACCAGCTTGGGAGGCTGAGACAGGAGGATCACAGTTAAAGCCAGCCTCAGCAAAAGCAAGGTGCTAAGCAACTCAGTGAGACCCTGTCTCTAAATAAAATACAAAACAAGGCTGGGGATATGGCTTAGTGGTTGAGTGCTCCTGAGTTCAATCCCTGGTACCAAAAATAAAATAATATATAAAAAAAGGCTATGGGGGTAGGGTTGTGGCTAGCGGTAGAGTGCTCACTTGGCATATGTGAGGCCCAGGGTTCAATCCCCAGCACCACATATAAATAAATAAAATAAACATATTAAAAAAAAAAGACTGGGGATGTGGCTTAATGGTTAAGCACCCCTGGGTTCAATTTCAGTACCAAAAATAAATAAAAATTAGTCTTATGTGAAAGACTACCAGTGACATTAAACTCTAGTATGAAAACTCCAAGACACTTAGTCAAATTTATCCTCAGATCTTTGGGAAATGTTGACAGGCTGTTATTATCTTATACTGCTACCATTAATTACCTACTGAGGTAAAACAAGCAGAACAGGGAAGGTGGACAAAAGGAAGAGAAAGAAAGGGATGATACAAGGGAATAAAAACTAAAATAAAAATTATTCTATTGATATTTATAAAACTCAACTATTCAAACAAACAAAAACAGATCTACAATCTGATAATGTGCCCAACTGCAATAGAATGATAATTTGAAGCCAGGTGCTATCGTATAAACATGTTATCCCAGCTACTTGGGAGGATAAGATAGCAGGATCACAAGTTCAAGACCAGCCTGAATAACTTAGCAAGACGTTTTTATTTATTTTTTAAAAAATAAAAAAGAGACCTTCCCTCAAAATCAAAAAATAAAAAGGGCTCAGGATGTGACTCAGTGGTAAAACATCCTGGATTTAACTGCTACTACCAGAGAAGGAAAAAAAAAAAGAATGTGTAGGATAGCAATCTAACTGAAGGAACAACAACAAAATTTGAAAATAAAATTATACTAAAAAATAGATAAAAACCTACACATAATTAAATTTGTATTATATGTAGGCTCTATGATTATGTCTTAAAATGTTCATCTTTAAAAAAGTACATTTCAGGGGGCTGGGGATGTGGCTCAAGCGGTAGCGCGCTCGCCTGGCATACATGCGGCCCGGGTTCGATCCTCAGCACCACATACAAACAAAGATGTTGTGTCCGCCAAGAACTAAAAAAAATAAATATTAAAAAATAAAAATAAAAAATAAAAAAGTACATTTCGGGGCTGGGGTTGTGGGGCTCAGTGGTAGTGCACTTGCCTAGCATACGTGAGGCACTGGATTCAATTCAGAGCACCACATACAAATAAATAAAATAAAGGTCCATCAACAACTAAAAAATAATAATAAATAAATAAAAGTGCATTTCACCAAGTGCGGGGGTGCCTGCCTGTATTGCCAGAGGCTCTGAAAGCTGAGACAGGAGAACCCCAAGTTCGAGGTCAACCTCAGCAACTTAGCAAGACCCTGTCTCAAAATAAAAACCAAAAAGGACTCAAAAAAGGCTTCAGATATAGCTCAGTGGTAAAGTGCTCCTGGGTTAAGTCCCCAGTACCAGAAAACAAAAGTAAAAAGTATACTTCTTGACAGGAGTGGTGGTGCACACCTATAATCCTAACTACTAGGGTGGCTAAGGCAGGAGAATCCCAAGTTCTAGACCATTCTAGACAATTTTATGAGATTCCATCTCCAAATTTTTAAAAGGTTTGGAATATAGCGCATGGTGAAGCACATGCCTAGCATATGTAAAGTACTGAGTTCAATCCCCAGTACCCACTCCCCAAAAGTAATTTCCATAAAACTTCTTTTGTTAAAATAGCAGAAATTGTAAACTATGTCCCTTTTCAATTGAGTTCAAACTCCAAGTTCACATCGGCATATTATTATATTTTTTCTTTTTTTTTTTAATAGGTTTTAAAGTTGGGTTCAAACCAACAAATTCATACATACATGGAATTCAATTTTAGTTTATAATCTCCCCCTTGTCCTCCCCCTTATATAAGTAACATTAACACAACAAAAGACAAAATATAAAAATCCCACTTACTTTTGTGTGAACAGTGAATTTTACTTTATCCCTCTCACTAAGAGCATCAGAAATGTCCACTTGCAGCGCAGCATCACTTTGAAGATCTACATTTATTGCTTTAAGCTAGAAAAAGAAAATAAGTAATATCTTAAAGAAATTCCGTGTGCTTTTATATAATTTTATTCTTCTTCCAGACAACAGGATAATGGGGGGAAAAAAACACATACACACAAAAGAATCGCAAGTATAAAAAAGTATAAAAGCTCATTTTATCTACATACATAGTTAGAGGCAGGTGTTTTAGGTAAATGGTATTTTCATTCTACACCATTCAACTAAACTCTGCATTGCATTGAGTCGCTAAACTAACCATGATCCATCATAGTTTCACCCCAAAAGAAAAAACTATTTTCCAAAGGGTACACTCATACATTCTTGGTGGGACTATAAATTGGTACAATCACTCTGGAAAGCAGTATGGGGATTCTTCAAAAAACCAGGAATGGAACCATTTGATTCAGTATTCCACTCCTCGGTAAATATCCAAAGGATTTAAAATCAGCATCCTAGGTGGGGAGGTGGGGAGGGGGGAGGGGGGAGGATGGGAAAGGCAGTGGAGCACAACAGACACTAGTATGGCAATTTGTAAATCAATGGATGTGTAACTGATGTGATTCTGCAATCTGTGTATGGGGTGAAGGTGGGAGTTCATAACCCACTTGAATCAAAGTGTGGAATATGATATGTCAAGAAATTTGTAATGTTTTGAACAACCCACAATAAAAAATTAAAAATAAATAAATAAATAAATAAATAAAATCAGCATCCTAAAGTGATGCAGCCACATCAATGTTTATAGCAGCATAATTCACAATAGCTAAGTGATACAGCCAACATAGGTGCCCTCTAACAGATGACTGGATAAATAAAATGTGATACACATACACACACACATAATGGAGTATTGCTCAGACATAAAGAATGAAATTATGGCATTTGCCAGTAAAGGGATGGATCTAGCAATTATCATGTTAAGTAATCCTAAGAAACCAAATATTTTCTCTGATATGTGGAAGCTAAAGGGGTAGGGATAGAAGTTCACTGGAGTAGACAAAGAGGAATGAAGGGAAGAGAGGAAGGATGGGAAAAGGAAAGAGGGTGGGATGAATCTGACATAACTTTCCTATGTACATATGAATACACCACAGTGAATCTCACCATCATGTACACCCACAGAAATTAATTTAAAAAATAATAACCACAGGTAAATGACAAAAGGATCAAAAAAGGGAAAGGAACAGTGGTGGGGAAAGAGAAGGGGAGGAAGAGATACTGGAGTCTGAATTTGAACAAGATGTATTCTAATAATTATTTATAATTATAATTTATAATTATATCAAAATGGATTATGTCTTGTAAAACTAAAAAGAACCAATTAAAAATAAATTAATTAATAAAAGAAAACCATTTTCTAGAAGATGGTCCATTAAATTTCAAGTGTTCTAAACTTAAGGAATATAATAAAAGAAAAATAATAAAAAGAATGATGAACAATTTTAACTCTTACTGCTTACTATATTCCTTACTGTTTAAAAATACATAATAAAACTATTAAATATATTATATATAATATATGTAAAGTACTATGAAAAATACTAACATAGTAAATATTCAATAATAAAGCTATAAGCTACAGTGCATTTGAAGAATTGGGTAAGTTCCCTATTTAGAGTTTTCATTTGCCTATCTAAGATAACTTTTACACTTACTTGTTTTTTTGAGGTGTTGGGGATTGAACTCAGGGCCTTATGCATGCTAGGCAAGTATTCTACCACTGAGCTATATCCCCAGTCCCTACAATACCATAATTCTACTTATAATTCTTAAATTTCATTCATGTTTACTCTTTAACAAAAAGTATTGTAATATGTTTGGGTAGAGACTTAACAAGAGTCAAATACACTAAAAAAACAAAATAAAATCTTAGCCAGCTACAAGATATAAAATATATAAAGTCTAATTAACTAGCCTGTTTCAAATATTCTAGTTGTAAAACCCAGGACTTGGTAATCTCATCTAGCTACTAGCTTCTCAAATTTTAATTACAATGTAAGTGAAAAAAAAAATGTTAGAAGAAAAACTGTTAATGCACATTGCTCTTATTTATTTATTTTAAATGCATACAATAGTTGGGCAAGGTGGTACATGCTTATAGTCCCAGCAGATGGGAAGCTGAAGCAAGAGGATCATCTGAACCTAGGAGTTCAAGATCAGTCACCCACTATCTCAAAGAGACTTACAAAAAATACACCAAAATTGTGAAAAAGCAGATTTTCTCTATATATTCTCTATTCTCCCAATTTTCCACAATGTTGCATGTATTCCTATTATAAATAGGGAAAAAAGTCTTTGTATCAGAAATCTAAAACAATTAATTTGAGCTGGGCATAGTGGCACAAAACCTGTAATTCTAGCTACTCAGGAGGCTGAATGCGGAGATCACAAGTTTGAACCCAGTCTGGATAACATGGAGAGACTCCATCTCAAAAAATATATATTAATTTCATAAAATTCCTTATTTAAATATGGCTTAAAAAGTAACTTATACTCATTTAATTTTGCAACTGGTTCTTACATGAAATGCTTTTTAAAAAATATGTTTTAGATGTTGATGGAACTTTATTTTATTCATTTATTTATATGTGATGCTGAGACTCGAACTCAGTGCCTCACACATGCTAGGCAAATGCTCTATCACTGAGCCACAACCCCAGCCCATGTAACATGCTTTTTAAAAATAAGTAATAATCCCAACAACTCAACAGGATGAGGCAGAAGGATGGCAAGTTTGAGGCCAGCCTCAGCAAGACCCTATTGTAAAATTAAAAATAAGAAAAGGGGCTAAAAATCTAGCTCAATGGCAGAGCACCATGTTTTAATTCCCAGTAACACCAAAAAAATTAATAAAACATAAATAAGTGCTATTACATAAAATACAAATTAAAATTCACAAAAGAAATAAATTATTGTAAGTTGCTGTGATACTATATATGATAGCCTTTTTTTAAAAAGAGAGAGAGAGAGAGAGAGAATTTTTTTAATACTTATTTTTAAATTTTCGGCGGACACAACATCTTTGATTGTATGTGGTACTGAGGATAGAACCCGGGCCGCATGCATGCCAGGCGAGCCCGCTTGAGCCACATCCCCAGTCCCATATGATGGCCTTTAATAAAAACTTTATTGATAACTTTAATAAGTTAAACTTCAATAAGCAAACATATCATTCAAAGTTCATACTGTAGGGCTAGGAATATAGCTCAGTTGATATAGCTCAGGTCTTGGATTCAATTCCCTACACACACACACACCACAACTGATACTGTAAACTTACACATAAAAACAACATGTTCTAAAAAAATCATTATTGTTCTCAATGCTACATGTAGCTCATTATCTGATAAATAATAAATTAAACGTTTCTTTTTCACTTTCCAACTATCTTGTTACCCCTTCAATATTAGAAACATTTGAGAGTAATTTGTTCCTTGTTTTTTTTTTTTTCTATTTAGTTTTATCAGGTATTCATATTGTCCTTTTCAACCTCTTCCTCAACCCTTTATCTTAGTTCTAGTTTAAGAAATCTGTTTCCAGGGGCCCGGGGTTGTGGCTCAGTGGTAGAGCACTTGCCTAGCATGCGCTAGGCACTGGGGTCGATTCCCGGGGAACCACATAAAAAAAATAAATAAATAAATAAAATAAAGGTATTTAAAAAAAAAAAAAAGAAATCTGTTTCCTTTTTATTAAACCTCATTTCTAGGCCACTTTTTAGGTATTTACTGTGCTAGGCTGAGTAATGTTACCCTGTATGGCAAAAAAGGACTTTGCAGATGTGATTTAAGTTTTTTGTTTGTTTGTTTGTTTTTGTTTTAATACCAGGGATTGAACTCAGGGGCAATCAACCACTGAACCACATCCCCAGCCCTATTTTGTATTTTATTTAGAGAGAAGGTCTCACTGAGTTGCTTAGTGCCTCACTTTTGCTGAGGCTGGCTTTGAACTTCTGATCCTCCTGCCTCAGCCTCCCCAGCCACTAGGTCAATTAAGGTTTTTTGGTTTTGTTTTTAAGAGAGAGAGAGAGAATTTTTTAATATTTTTTAGTTTTCGGTGGACACAACATCTTTGTTTGTATATGGTGCTGAGGATTGAACCCGGGCCGCACGCATGCCAAGCAAGCGCGCTACTGCTTGAGCCACATCCCCAGCCCCAATTAAGGTTTTGACACAGGGAGACTATGCTGTTTTATCTAGTTAGACCTTAAATGCAATCACATATTCTTTTATAAATGGGAGGCAAAGAGAAATTTGTCACACACGATAACTTCAATAATTAACAACTAGAAGCAGAGATTAAAAGTAATGTACTACAAATCAGATTTCTGGCAACCACTAGAAGCTCAAAGAAGCAGCAAATTCTTCGCTTCCACCTCTGGAGGACACCTTGATTTCAGCTCAGTGACTAATTTCTTACTTCTAGCCCCCAGAATTGTGAGTGAATAAGTTTCCATTGTTTTAAGCCACCAAGTTTGTGGTAATTTGTTAAACAGCTACAGGACACTAGTGCATTTATCATATAGTTTCTGGAATAACAACACTGTTGGCATTTCTCCACTTCTTTATGTTTTCATTGCCTAGTCTAGCATTTCCCAAACACAACTTAACCTGACACTTATTAAAAATACAAAACCTGGGTTGGGGTTATAGCTTGGCAGTAGAGTGCTTGCCTAGCATGTGTGAGGCACAGTGTTCAATTATCAGCACTGCGTATAAATAAATAAGTAAAATGATCCAACTAAAAAAAAAATACAAAACCTAGAGTAAAGGGCCTTAAAAATCTGTAGTTGGAAACACTGGCAGAGATGTTTCAGCATTTTCTATGTCTTCATGGTGTGTCAAAACTGGTAACATTTTCTTTTTAATGATTATATCAAATAGATTTGCCAGATTTCATGTTTATGAGTACAATTTTCATTTGATTTTTACTACTGTTCTGTCAGATGAAAATACACCCATCAGGGATTTTTACATCTGAGTGGCTGCCAGTTATTCTTCTAATTTAAGATT